ACAAAAAAAAAACATGAACAAGAGGCAAGGCAACGAGAACAGTCACAGTGTAGCACAGACTACAGAAGAAGAAAAACTAATCAAACATATGACTGTCCTTGGTGTGCAGAAATGTGCAAACGGTCAGGTTGACGGCGGTTACGGGTGCTGCGACGGGGTGCAACAACAGGCTCAGTAGGTGCGGGAACAGCAGGTTCAGACGCACTATCAGTAGAAACGCGATCAGGTAGCAATGGGACATAAGGCCGTAGGAAGCGACGATTTCGCCAAAACACACGACCACTACGTAGCTTGACGTAATAGTCTCGATGGGTACCAATGGCAACAACGATGCCTCGACCTGTCCACCGTTTGGTGCGCGGATCTTGCAGATCTACGTGCATGCCAATAGTGAGCTTAGACAACGTGCGCGGCTGAGACGAATCTGGATCCGGGACAGGTGGAGAATCAGAACTCTCTATACTGGTAGCACGCTGTTTCCACTCCGGGGCAAACGACGAGTGATGCGCCAGCACGAATGATGAGAGCGAACGACCGAATAGCAGCTGGGCAGGACTGGGTCCAGACGGATGTGGGGTATTACGCCATTCCAACAGACCACGCTGGAAGGCATCGGTGTCCAGGTCGCCATTACTAGTGGTTTTCGCAATCAGGTACTTCATGGACTTCACCGCGGACTCGGCATGGCCATTTGATTGCGGGAAGTGCGGGGTTGATGTGATGTGCTTCATCTGCCAACGGTCGCAGAACTCAGTGAAGCGTCGCGACGCATACTGGGGACCACCATCGGTTGAGATTGCACTGGGAACGCCAACATCTGTAAACCAGCGACGAAGTTGACGAACCACGTCAGAAGATGTGGCTGTGCGGCCTATCTTTGCAACACACGGCCAACCGGTGAGTCGATCGACCAACACAAGGTATTCCCAACCTTGGCAATGGAAGAGGTCAGAGCTGACACTCTCGAACGGCATTGACGGTTGACGGTCACTCTGCAGCGGTTCTCTCGGCAAAGATGGCTGGAACTCACGACAGGGCTGACACGCACGGACAAGGCGGTCAAGCTCAGAGTTCAAACCAGGCCAGTACACTAGTTGACGCGCACGACGCTTGGTGCGGTCAATTCCTTGGTGTGCAGCGTGTAGATCTTGCAGCACAGATGCACGTAGAGCAGCAGGTACTACGATGCGATTGCCCTTCAGTACGACGGCGGAGTCGACAGATAGGTGTTCGCGTCCATTCCAATAGGGCTGCAGATGCCGTGGAAGGTCGGAACAGGAGCGTGGGAAGCCGGTGAGTACCATCTGCAGGAGATCTTGATACTCAGAGTCCGAGGCGCACGCATCTTGGAGCTTCGCATAGCGTAATGCTGACATCGAACCAGAGTCATCAGCACGGAGGCACGCACGAATAGCAGAACCAGATGGCAGGTCGTCTTCTCCAAGCAGGTCAGATGCTTGTGGGTCGGAGACGGGTGCTCGAGACAGAGCGTCGGCGGCATAATGCAGCTTTCCTTGTCTCCAGGAAGCATGAAATTGGTACGGCCGAAGCTTCAGCAAGAGACGCTGCAAACGAGGATTCTCGACCTGATCCAGGCTATACGTGTTGAAGATCGGAATCAGGGGCTGGTGGTCTACGATGAGGTCGAATCTGCTGCCGGCAAGGTACAGGTGGCACTTGCGCACAGCCCAGACCACAGCAAGACATTCAAGCTCAATCATAGCGTAGCGGCTTTCAGTGTCGGTGATAAAGCGGCTACCACACTGGACGAGGCGCCAGCCAGACGGGTGCAGTTGGAACAGTGCATAGCCGAGACCTTTCGTGCGGGATGCATCTGTTTCCAGACGTGTTTCCAGACCAGGTTGGTAATACGCCAGAATGGGGGGTTCGACCAGAGCATTCTTCACACGGTTGAACGCATCGGTGTGTGGCGTTTCCCACTGGAAAACAGCAGACGTCTTCAGCAGACCACGAAGCGGTGTCGCCAGCTCGGCGATAGCAGGTGTAAACTCAGCAAGCTGATTTACGAGGCCCACGAACGATCGGAGGTCGGTCCGATTCGTCGGGGTGGAGAAGTCGCGGATAGCGGAGAGCTTAGCGTCATCGACAGTCCAACCGTCAGCATTCAGGATGTAGCCGCAGAACTCGATCTCGGTAGCAGCGAACACAAACTTCTTCGCGCTAAGGGTTACGCCGTGCTCGCGCGCACACAACAATACGCGCCGGACGCGTGCCACATGGTCACCAAGGTCATCATCATAGACGAGACAGTCATCGACGACCTTTTTGAAATTGGTGATGTTGTCGAATGCCGTGCTCATACGGCGGTTATACTCGTCTCCGGCCGAGATGAGGCCCTGCGGATTGCGCAAGTACTGATACCGGCCCCATGGAGTGATAAACGTTGTCAATGGCCGCGCTGCTTCGCTGAGTGGCACTTGCCAGTAGCCATGGCGAGCATCGAGCTTCGTAAAGAAGCGACCGCTGACACTGGTGACGACATCACGAGGTGGCTGTGTCGGATGCGTGGGAAGTTGGATCTGATCGTTCAGCTTCTTGAAGTCCACCGTTAGACGCTTCTCAGTGGTGCCCTTCTTGTCGACTATAACAATAGGGTGGCACCAGTCGCGGGGTTCAGAGACAGGCTCAATGATGCCATCCTTCACCATGTTGTCAAGCTGTTCCTTAATCTGGTCCCGAAACGCATAGGGCACTGGTCTAGCGTGATGAACACAGGAAGGTGTAGCGTCTGGTTCGAGCTGAATGTCCATTGACGGACCAGACATGGGCTTCAGACTGTCAGAGTCGAACACGTCAGAAAACTCCTCCAGCAGCTCAGTGCGAATCTGGTCGGCGGTGGGCTCAGGTGCTGGTTTGCGCTCAACTCGGCAAACAGAAGGCCAGTTGGGCGGCAGCAATCCGAGCGCACACAGGGATGTCCGGGAGAGCAAGGCATCCGACAGCTCGGAGTACACGTGTATGGTGGTGCGGTAAGTCTTGGAGCCTAGCCCAAGACTGGAACTGATCTGGCCAACGGATACGAGAGGCTGACCGTTCACACCGGTGACAACGTCTGGGTCCTCCGCCAGGTTTTCTGGGAATCCACCCAGAAGGTCAAGATGACGAAGACCAATGGCGTCGACATCACTGCCGGTGTCCGGTATCCAGTTAATGGCTGCACCTGTCTCCTCCGTGTTGAGCGTAGTCGTCACAGACACGGTGCCTTGTTGCCCGGATGATGCTTGCTGGAGCTTCAGCTGGCCGATCTTGGAACCACGTGGCTGCTTGGATTTCTTCGGGCACATTTTTTCAAAATGTCCAGTGGCTTTGCAGCCGTTACAAGTTTTGCCAGCAGCGGGGCAGGCAGACTTGGTATGCGTAGAGCGGCCACACTGGGGACATTTCTTGGGTGATGAATAAGCAGACTGGGGTGCTGCCTTAGAGGTGGCGTCCGGCGCCGGCTTGTCACCAAAGCGTTTCTGACGCTGGTACTGTGACCTACGGGCGGCGTTGATCGATGCTGACGGCAGAATACCATCCCCAGTTTGCTTTGCTGCTTCCTCAGCACGGCAAATCTTTGCGGCGTTAGCTAGTGTCAGGGATTGTTCGGCTAACAATTTGTGCCGAGTGTCGTCATCGTGCACACCCACAACAATCCGGTCACGGAGGATCTCCTCGTGTGCTTGCACCAGCATCTTGGGGCAACTGCTGCACATGCGGGCAGAGCATGCGGAACAGACTTGCAAGTCGGCGAAGTCGCAGGCAGCAAAGGACTCCTTTAAGCCGGTGTAAAAAGCATCAAAGGTTTCACCACGTTGCTGGCGTCGGTTATAGAAGTCTATCCGATCCAGCAACGGGTTACGTTGCCGACGGATATATTTTTTGACAGCACAGATTATGTCCGAGGCATCGGCATTAGTGGCCACGGCGATGATCCCCTCGCGCAAATAACGCTTTATGTCTTCATCTAGTGCCTGGCGTAGAGCACTCACTCGTGTGAGTCGGTCCTGAACGGACAGTTTCTGGCATCTCGCGTAATCCTCCCAAGCCTCCTCCCATGCGTTGAGGTCCGCGAGCGTGGCAGAGGAAAGCAGGATGGGCCGTTCCACCGAGATTTGTTTCGTCGTGGGCTGCGATGTGGATGTATTGCCACTATTGGAGCTACTCAACAGGGCAGTCAGGCGTGCCTCGCGGTCCGCTGCGGCTGTCATCTGTGCCTGCATGAAGGTCAACAGAGCCTGAACATCAGGGCTGACAGGTAAGTTTGGCGTGGCTGCTGCGCCAGGGACAGCATCACTACCAGAGTCGGACATTACGAATCGAAACAAATTTACAGCACTCGCACGAGGTTCACACCACTGAAACGACGGGCCGGGATTGTCAGGTCAAAACGGGTGATCTGACCTACCGCCTACAATACTACTACGACAGGTAAGAAAATAGTTCACTGCGCCATGTGATAAACGTATTGGTTTATTCTAATAAATACTTTGTAGTAGTCTCCATCGAGGAGCGAGTGGAAAAGAACAACAAAACAAAGAACAGCACAACGGAATCAGCATGCTCAATGTGTAGTCATGCGTGCATGCCAAATACCAATGCATGACGTAAGCTAACGTAAACTGCGTACAATAAGACAGATGCACGCGGGTGGTTGCATATAGGATAGCGTACATAATAATACAACAGTAACAACACGTGTGACTAAGAACAGTGGTTTGAGCAGAGTTGCCACCCACCCGGTATGGGCATGCCATAGAGGTGCAGACATCATGACATTGTCTCTTCTGCTTTCCAAGAAAATCTACCTACTACTGAATTTGGATATACTGTACATGTATACTGTGCAGATTTTATTTCCGACTATATTTCTTTAGAAATTTAAGTTGAAGTGGTTTGGCCATGTTACGAGACATGACGTTTTCTCCAAGCCCTTCCTGCAAGGACCAACTCCTGGATCTCGACCGAGAGGAAGGCCCGCGACATCATGGATTTCTAACATTAAAAGTTGGACGGGTATTCCCTTGCATGCTCTCTCTCATGCAGCACACGATAGAGTTGGATTCAGAGACATCATTCACAATTCTCTCGCTGATTGATGCCTCTACGATCACCTTGTGATTATGAGTTATACATACATACATACATACTGTGCAAAGAACAAAGTCCTCACTTCGCTATTCTATCAAAATATGGGAATCAGATTTGCCTGGGTAAGGTATGCACGATTGATGTACACATGTTTATCAGTTGCATTATGTTTTGTTATTATTACAAGCCTAAAGAGGGGTAAATGGACTGAAGGATGCACAATGAGAGTGCATAAAGTTCTGACAAGGTCGTGGTCGAAAACCATAATTATAGATAGGAAAAATTAGGAAAACCCCAGACACAGAAAATATTTTACTTCTACTATATTTTTTTAGATATCAACAAGAACAAGAGCAACAATTTAATGATCATCATAGCCTAGGAGCTGTGGCATCATGCAAGACCACAGCCAGAACGCAGGAAAGCAAGTGTCTATGGTGAAGTAAAATAGAGATAACTAATGTTCGCTCATAGAAAAGAAGACGTTTCCTGGGGGCTATTTGTGGGCAGTAAGCCTTGAAACGAAAATAGGCCATTCAACATTTCTGTGTGGTATAGTTGTGCTCCTTGGAATCCAACCCGATGGAAACGCTTGCACCTTGGATAAGTATCCTTTAATTTTATCCGAACACAAGTGTACGTCCAGGTGCATTTGTACCACTGCCAGGGCAGGAAGCTCCGTGGAAATCTGGTGCGCCAGTTATGCACTGTTGGAAGTCTGGTCGGATGTCACCCACCATGTTTGGAGCAAATTGATCAAGCCCCACCACAGGTACCAGGACATCTTTGGTAGTGGCCAAATCTGAGGGTCTACATTTCCGTGGATGCTCCGTATGACTCTTCCTCCTGGATAGGCTTGGACGAGGGCATGAACAGAGGTAAGGTGGTATCTTCATTAGGCAAACTGAAGCTTTCGTTCACCCTGATGTGGCTAGTACTGGTGAGATCAGAGATGGGGATAGTAGACGATGATGGCCACCCGTGAGCAGAGGACGTGAGAGTGTTGGAGAGACCCGCTGGAACACAAGATTCCCTGCTAGCACGTCTGAATTTGCTGGTACCGGACAAGTAATTGTCTGGCTCGCCCAGAGAATCACGCCGGTATGTGCTTCGACGGTACATGGAGCGGGGTCTCTCCAGCGTGTCTTCCCCATGGCTGGACAATCGGCGCAGGCTGATTCGGCTGAATCTGAAGGAGCTCGACATTGTGTCGCGTGCAGAGCGCGATCGCCGCGAGCTGTGATCGCTCCATTCCTTGCGCACATCCTGTGACGTGATGGTGTGCACGACGATGAAGACACCCTGCATCGTGTTCAGTCCGGCGAAGATGTATTGCAAAGATATGTGATCAATGAGAGCAGTCAGCACTCCGGTCACCCATGTCAGGCCGAGCAACAATGATAGGGAAACACTGATACGCAGCAGGTTGACTTTCCGGGGGGCGGTTTGCTTCTTTCGAGTTGTCCTGACGGCCCCTGCTCGAGTCTTCAGGGACTTTACCACTAGGAAGAGAACGCTTATGTTGTAGACGAGTGTTAGACACATAGGCGTAATGAATGCTCCGTAGAAGGCGGCGTCACTCGATATCCAGCAACTGCAGGTGTAAAAAGACGTGAGGTAAGGCAAAGCTCATTGCTTTGAACTCATGATTGTACAGTTCAGTCTACACGGGAACATGGGGCAAATGAAGTCTGAACACAAAGACATAATAACCTAAAGGAAATCAGGAGACCAGATATCGGTGTTTCTCATGTGACTAGGGCCAAGGAATTTGGTGCCCACAATCTAGGAACGTCTGTCGGCACAGTTGTACTTTGCCATTTATCTTCGCTAAATTAGTCAATCGTGCATTCATGTACTTGTATGCAACAATTACTTCTTCTTGATCTACGTACTAGTGTTTGCTCCCATATGCCGTCATTCCCGTCGCTGATGCTGTTGCAACAACGATGATGATGGGGAGAACTGTGTAAGAGAGAGAAAAACGGAGAGTGTCAACAAAACAATCACCATGAACTTTGCCAGGCCTACAGCTAACTGTAAGTGTTACTTGCGTGCACTTTGAACAGGGTCGATTTCATTCTCCCGTGGAATCATGCCTGCACTTCAAGGTAGTAAAGTTGTATTTTTACACAGACATCTTCAAATCCTTTGTTTTCAGAAATGTCATGGTGTGATTGCAGCTAATAATTCCACCGAGATATTGCCTTAATCATACCGTAGATGTGTTCACATGCGTGTTTCATGACTGTGTTGGATCATAATTATACACTGCTTTAATATGGAGCCTGTAATCAACGCATTATCTCTATTACAAGCTGCAGGCTTATATGTTTTCAACCAATCCGGATCCTAGGCTTATATTAGAGACTGGGCTTCTGCTAGAGACTGGGCTTCTGCTAGAAACTGGATTTTTAATGTTTCTACCAAAATTATGGTGCATGTACAATGTCTATTTTAAATCACCTTTACCAGCAATAAAAAGGTTTTTCTCAGGAGGTGCCGTAGTAGTGTGTAACATACTTCTTACTGTGACTGCAGTTTTTTTACTTCCTGGTAGACTGAGTTTTCTCTTTTTAATCTTGGTTATCACGGACTTGCACCACAGCATGTGTTATAAAGTGTCACTCTACTGTGTGACATAAAACATTATGGACATTAGGCCGCATTCACACTACTTGAGGAAGTGCGTTACAGACCATTTTTCAGGCCATTCTCCTTGGCAACCTAGGTATTTTGGCGCGAAAGTATAAAAGTTACCTGAAAGGTTTCTGTAACTCCGGTACCCCTGTACAAGGCAATTTTTTCTTTCAAGGAGAAGTCGACAGCAAAAAAACTGTATTTTGCTTCCACTGGTTCCAGAGTATTTTTCAAAATGCCGAAGGTTCTGTTCGCGGACGATCTGGAGTGTCGGCTCTTTGAGCTCTGGGACGAATACCAGGGAACGAAAAGTGGCACTATGGTGAAGCGATCTGTCGCAGAGTGTCAGATCGCATCCAAACTCAATGATTACGTCCAGCACCTCGGCATCAAGGCTGTCGTGTTCACGGCGGCGAGTGTGCACATCAAGGTAGATAATTTGAAAACGAAGGCCCGCGATCACTACAAGAGATAGAAGAAAAAAAGAAGGAGAAATGGCAAGGGCTGCGGCAACTCTCCGCAGACCTCTGTCACGGGCATGGTGATCCATGTCAGCAAAGAAGGATTTCCTTGCAATATCACCACGGCAAATTGAGAACGATCAACGAAAATTTGATGTGTGTTCAGATTGGCAGAAAATGTGGAGTTGAAATATTATGACACACTCGTCAGGGCGAACGTAAAAAGTGCATCACATGACGCGCATCGCATATCGTGTGTGAACAGATTTTTTTTCAAGTCGCCTTTGACATACTTTTGCAGGCAGTTGCTTTTGCGTGGTGTGAATGCGGTCTTATCCATGCAGTGCGCCGTCATAAGCCCTGCGCTTGTATTGGAGACTGCGCGTGCATACCTTCGAAGCGCTCTTAGAGTGCGCTTATAATAGAGACTGGACTTCTACAGGAGACTGCACTTGTAATAGAGATGATACGTTATACATAATCCCATGCTAGGATCCAGCAAGGATTTCAATCACGGAAATTTTCGTAATCCAGTCATCCTTCAGGCTGTTTGTATAGCCTGCGCTACAAGCACTGGTGTTTCACTCAATTTAAAGAATATTCTGAGATGTCGTTCACCTACATTCTGCAGATACGACAAAATCACAGATTGAGCGGACCTGAGCACTGGAATATTACCGAACACTGCGCTTATCAGCCTTCTCAGCAGCGTTTCTGTGTTGCCACCAATGACTGTCACGAGTTGCGTGTAAAGTAGAGTAGCATCAGCTGACATCCACATGAACACCATAAGTAGGAGGACGTGCAGTGAGAGACCCACACCCTGGCAGAGTAGTCTATGGTGTGCTGCTGGAGCTAGGGCCGCTACAAACAAGACTAGTACTGCGAGTAGTGTACAGCTGAGTCCTAGTATCAGCTTCTGATGACCACGTGACCGGAGTCTCCTGTTGAACAAGAGTAAAAAGACATGACAATCAATTTGAATGTACATACATGCTTACATGTAATCCTATTGCCAAGATAAAGACGGATATTATGTAGTGGAAGTACAACAAAACAAGGACAATCGAGGCTTTTTGCTGCTACTAGTGGAAGTGCATGTACATCTTTCCGATCACTATACATGAGGGTATCGATATAGGGAAGATAAACAAAGTGTTGTTGTTGCCGTTGCTTGGCGTTTATTACGTTAGCGATCAACAGACAGCACTCCAATATTCCTGTACGTGTACCAACTACACAACACTGGTATATGATCGCTCATACTTAGATCAATATTGCAATCATAATTCTAACGCTTTGGAATTCACGATATAATTGCAGCTACAGTACCAGGGAAGGAAGGAAATACTCTCAGTGGATCTGACGGGAATGACTCTTACCTGACTGAAGCAATGATGAAAACTGTGGCAAGTAGACCTGCCATTGATAGAGCACTGCCTATGTAGGATACAATGCTGATGCCCAGCGTGGCGTCAGAATCCATTCCGGGATGCGACTCCAGGGCTTTTCGTGACTACAAAGTTACGCCATGCGTAAGACAATAGAGAGTAACAAGGGAAGAATAAGAAAAGAGAAATGCGTGGGTTACATTGAAGTGCTACAAAGTCGTTTTGACAATCTGTCTGGACTTTCATTTAAAGACCAATTAGATTAAGAATCAAAAGAATCCAGATGCAAATTATCCCAAGGACATTGTAAACCCTTAATTCTTCAATCTGTGATCTGAGTATGACGTGCACTGTTGAGACACTTTTCCATTTTACCAGGTACCTAAATTTCAAACTGTGGCTATTATAATTTTTTTGTAATCCAGAGGTATAACATACTATAAGGACAATTAGCATCAACTTAACTGTCCTTGTTTCTGCAGATCACAGTATTAAACTTACGTTGAAAAGTGCCACTTCCAGGTATTGAGCACTAAGTTATCAATGTTATCAATAATATTTGTCTGTGCAGAAAATTCTTGAAGTTAATAGCTCTCAGTTTTTCAGCGAGTGCGAACCTTATTGCATAAGCTTACCACGAGGATTGCAAAGCTAGTCAAGTGCTTGCACTGACATACAGCTCTGTCACTGGTTGACACATTCAAAAGCTCACATCCCTCGCCATTCCAGCCACCCTCGCCAAAAGCTGTGTAACAGTGAAAAGAAGAAGAGCAGACAGGGCAAGGAATCAGAATTAACATTATGCCTTGTGGACCAGCATACAATTCAACCTAAATCTATCTTGTTCATGTAAGAAGAAGGGCCGATGCTTCCTGAAGCTTCATCTCTGAGAGGATGACGGGTGGACACATCCATTCCCAGTAAAATAACAAAACTGGTTCGGATGTGCAGCGCTATGGGAATGGATGTGTCTACCTTAATTCCTTTCTTCGTGAAAGCAAGTGATCAAGTGGAAATGTTTGCAATAGATGATTCCTGAGCTGTGTCAACTATCGAAAACATTCAGAAACTGTGGTTATCAACACCGAACTTACATATGGTGTAATCCCAGAACACACACTCCATATTGGTCTCCCAGGCTGGGCCTATCCCGTCTTGATTTGTCTGCCCCTGGAGAAATGTAGCATGTAGTAAATTTTGGCACTGGCGGTGATAATCACAAATCACGAATTCTGATACTGTCATGGCTTCACTTCCTATTAACTTCCTGCGCGCATGTACTCATTAACCTCTACATGAATGCATGTATCTGTTTCAACCCCTCCTTCTAAACAATACCCGCGCGTGTACATACACACACATACACGCACATAGGATGTACAGCCACATATTGTCTCTTGTAGCAATGGTAGAGGGCACTATTAAAATGAAGCGTGGCAAGAATAGCACCAGATAACTGCAAAATCAACCATATGAGGAACCCTGTGAATTGACCCCGAATGCACACCTGTTCTTCACTACCCAGAGTGTAAACACACCCACCCACCCACACACACACACACACACACACACACACATACGCATACACAAACACAATCATGTACACATTCACATACACACAATGCATGGAACGACGTGCATAAACACGCACAAATGGATCAATGGCATCAAAATAAATTATGCATGGCCATTTGTAATTACAAGAGGCAATTGAAAAGTGATGCAGCATATTAAATACTGTACTCACTTGTAAAATCTTGAATGAAATCACGACCGGGACACTCAGATTTACGACAGGGGATACCCCCACCTGAGCTGATATGATCATGGATCCAACGAACTTATCCGTAGATAAGTTGCTATCCTGAAAAAGGCTAGCAGTACGGTAGACAATGAACCGAGTCGAGCGTGACGAGCACGATGTCGCACTTGTATTGCTGTGTTGCTGATCTCTCAAACCCAAAGCTTCACTCGGGATGTCAAATGCTATTACTGCCTGGCTCTCTGATTTCAGGAAAAGACGCAAGAGAAGAAATAAGTTACAACACTAGAACTGAAGTGGGTTTAATATGAGGGGAGCTTTGCCGGTTGCTTTCATTTTGTTATGTTCGTTCTATAGCTTCTATTGTATGATCACAGATCAAGAGTGTAGGATGAAGACTGTTTGCATTTAACTCACCGGCTGCTGTTTCCTCTGACCTTCCGCTGCTAAGGTTTGTTGCTCCGTTGTGCTCTCGCATCCGAAACTCTTGCGGCCCACTGCGTTGCGGACAAGTTACGAGATATCCAACGTTTTCAGCCATGCGCTGCACGGCCTCCCCTTCTTTGACGTGAAGCGACGTCACCAGTTTCTCCATCGATTTTGTGACCCTGAAAGTACAAACAAATTATTCTTTCAATCAGAACATGCTGACTTCAAGATTTTTAATCCTAAATTGAAAAGATTTATGTGAACGTCTCCTGATGGCTACCATGATTATGGTGATATTGCATAGAGAGATATGGTTGGAGAAAGAGAAAGAGAGAGAGAGGGAGAGAGAGAGAGAGAAACGAGAGAGAGAGACATCGAGAGAGAGGGAGACAGAGAGGGAGACAGAGAGAGAGACAGAGCGAGAGACAGAGATACAGAGATAGAGAGAGCCAGAGGGAGGTAGAGAGACACAGAGAGACACAGAGAGATAGATAGATAGATAGAGAGATAGACAGACAGACAGACAGACAGACAGACAGACAGACAGACAGACAGACAGACAGACAGACAGACAGACAGACAGACAGACAGACAGACAGACAGACAGACAGACAGACAGACAGACAGACAGACAGACAGACAGAGACAGGGAGACACGGAGAGAGAAGCAATATTAGCACAACATTCACTACCTTGATGCAGGCAGCGGCTTGATTATCGCATGCCTCACACTGAGGATATTGTCGGCAGTCTCCAGAACACAAAGTGCTACCTGTGCAACGCATTACACGATACACACCCTGTGATCTTTGGGACGTGGGAATAATGAATTGCTCAGGAACGTGTGATGGAAGCTTACACCAAGCAAATCTGTACTGTATAATAAGGGAAAAGACCACGGACAAGTTATCCTATAATGCCCACTAACACCAGAAGTTACTTAACCAGTAACCAGTAACTTGTAGTTCCTTGGTAATTGTCTTTATTATAAATTCATCATTGACTCTCTAACGCAGTCAAATCTGTACTGTACAGAGCAGGGAATTAGTGTGTGCAAATCACAATTTTGCATCTTATCTCGACTGCAGTGCGTGCCACACAGTCACTCGTCATACGAGGATCTAGTCCTGATTTCAAGCTTTAGCATCCACTATCCAGTTAGACTGTGGCATAAGCTGAGCATGGTGGACCTACCCAAAAGCTCAGCAGCATCAATTTGTGACGACAACATCATGATCATTATCACTGCAGTAGCCAGATTTGTTTTCGTTCTATGTTTTTTGGCGTTAACATCCTTCATCTTGGCAAATTGTGTTTGTCGTGTATGTAAAAGAGGCTTATCATCACATCACTGCAGTAGCCCATGATCTGTACTGGAGATTGTGACTGCTGCATGTGCTACACATGAGTTATATGTGTTGCTTGCAATTATCATGCACAGTCATCTAGTGCCTTGCTATGCCATCGCATGACACTCCATCCATGTACGGCTTACCTGCACATGACACGCGTTCATGATCAACCAACCTATGTGGTCTAGCTTGTCATCGTATTGTACGTATCCGGTTCTGGATCCTTCTATCTTCTTCTACTGCTTCTAGCACCTTCCGTCCAGTTCTGATAATCTGGAGTGATTTGCATTTCTTTGTTCTTGTTGTTTATGTTCCCAAGAAGTGAAGTCAAAATAGAATGCTCTCGCATGTTGGGTGGGTGTGCTCGAAATAAGTAACAAAGTTCAAGGATTGAACTTTACAGTAACCTAAATATTTTATCATGCCCCTGCACTCCCTTGTTAATATATTGACTTCCTTGTAATTTTGCTGTACCCTTTCTTCTGAGGTTCGAAAAAACGTTCATCCCATCAGGACAATGAGAAACTGTGGGAAACACATTGAGTAATGAATAACATCGCTGTCCTTTCTTTTCATTTCAATGTTACCTGTCGTTCTACTGTCTCGTTGAGATCTGGATCGAAATAAACCACTGATATCAGATTTTCAAGTGTAATGGCTGCCACGTCTATGTCATCTGTGGACAAGATTGAGGTGTTCTTGGTGATGTTGGACAACGCTTCTGCAGTAGCGATCAGCATCTCAGGTTCTTCAGTGGTGAGTTTCACCTAGGTCAGAATAACGAGATAGCAGTGAAGGGGAGAGGTTGGGAAAGGTACTTCAAGTACAAAATTATCGAGGGATAATGCCATGTATGGAAAAAGAAAGATACACCATATTACGTAATACACACACTGAACACGCTCATGAAAAGTCACGCTATTATGCCTCCAACTGCAATACTCTTGCAGCACAAATCTCTTTGGCCTCTCGGTAGCCATTCATATAACGTTCTGCTTCCTGCTTCAGGCAGTATACAAATACGTGAGTACTTCAACACAAGTGAGTTCACCTTGTAAAGCTTTAGCAGCTGCTCCGTGATGGGTGATGGGCAGGCTGAAGTATCAGGATCACTCCAGGTGGGAATGGTCAATACTGCCCGGTCATAGCTAGCAGATGCCACGCAGTCACGTGTTGCGTATCCAAGCTGGCGATCATCCAGCACCACGGGACATGGTAAGATAACTGAATCCGCTGCGAAACTCTCCGGCCACGTGAACAGTCCTTGGAAATCAACAGTCGTGTCCTCTGGGCACGTATCTGTTGAATGGAGTGAATACAGAAGACACATCGCAACTGGCTAAGCAGTCACTGTTTTCAAAGTACAGTAAAACCTGGTTTAAGCGACCACCCCGAGGTGCCAGGAAAAGCGGTCGTTAAAGCCAGGTGGTCTTTAGAACCAGGTCCTACGGTGTCTGTGTAGAACTATCGGTGCATGGAAAAACGTTCGTTAAGAGCAGGTGGTCGCTAAAACGAGAGGCCACTTACACTGTAGTGTGGCAACGGGATCACCCACTTCGAGGCCAGTTTGCGTTTTTTGGGCTCCGGTAGAAATGGCCGTTTAGGTCCGTAGTTCACAGTATACTGATAGTAAAGCATAAGCAGACGGCATGGAGGCAGGGTCTGACCCTGCAAATGTTGCAACGACGGGTGACCAGAGCTTGGACGCATGGAGAGGTGTTGCACCCGCCCACCTGAAGAGCTGTACTGCTTCTTTCCCAGCATTGAAACAAGTAAGCATTCATGACTATTTAGAAGCTCTAGAGGGTCACAGATATGAGGATATTGTATCCATTCAACTGCTAAGCACAGGCAGATGCCACATCACGCTCAGCTGCCAAGAATCAATCAGAAAACTATCCCTTGAAGGTTTCTCCGTTCGAGGACAACAAATTGTCCCTGCGCCATTGGTAAATCCACACATTCAGTTGCACATGCACGACATTCCTGTCTGGATTTCAGATCCCGCAGTCATTGCAGCATTATCTTCTTACGGTACGGTAGTAGGCACAGTTCGACATGGCCGCCTGAAGTTGAAGTCTGGCAAATTTGTCGCCACTGGGGTCAGATTCGCCACTTTTATGCTGACACCTGGCGTGGCCATTCCATCGTATGTCAGTACAACAGGCAGTACAAGATTCAGAGTTCACTACGAAGATCAAAAACCCACGTGCCGCATCTGCGACTCCCCTGCTCACTTGGCCAGTGCATGCCCAGTCCGAAAACAACGGATGCCTTCAGCGCACACCAGGCGATGGGAGACCCCCTCACCTGACGTACTATCGGAGTTGTGTAAATCCAACGCTGAGGCACCGGTCTTGAAAGACTCTCAGCTAGCGAGTACTTCTAGCTCTGCGAGTATGTCCATTGCCACGGAGCCCGGCAAGGCTTCTTCGAAATCCACCGACAACAACTCTCAGACTGAACAACACGATGATAACCCTACTAGTCAGAAGCCTTGTTTGACACAATCCCTTCCAGTTGCTGAGCATGGGACTGTCGAACCTGCCAGTCAGCCGGCCGAACAGTGCTTGGACAAATGCGCTTCTGACCAAGCCTATTCACAACCTGAGGAACCTGTTCACCAATCGGAGGATAAGTCCCTGTCTGCCTCCCAGGACCTTCGAGTCAACAAACTCCTGAGTGATGCCGCTGACCACGATTGGATGAAGGAGTTTGTAGAAGTGCCTCCCCTACGTCGTGGAAAACGCCATGAGTCATCGCCAACCAGTAAATCCACAGAACCTTGCGTGGCAGCTCAGGGAAAGAAGGGAAAGCGGGGAAAAGAGAATGTTTCTGGATCTCGCTTCAGCAACCTTTCTGTAGAAGCATGAAAACCGTAAGAACTGTTAGAACTATAATGTCTTATTAGTAATGATAGATCATCACAACACAATTTCTTTAGCTGTATCTTTTTTAAATGTATGTAGTCAATACCGTTAAATGTTCACTCAGACTCCTTTGTACCAATGCATTTAGCTTAGGAAACAAGCTAGCTGAGTTCCAGCACACACTGCACCAGCATAATCCCGACATAGCAGTAGTGACGGAAACAAAGTTTTCCTCTGAAACCGTCCCACCATCCGACTCCACATTCCCTGGCTACACCACCTTCCGGCTGGATCGAACAGCACGCGGTGGCGGAGTGGCGGTATGGATCAGATCTACACTCCCAGCCATGGTAATTGATGAGTTATTTTCTTCACATCACGAACTCATTTGGCTATCCATTCAATTGTCCCCTGGACAAAAGATAGTCTTGGGCGCTGCTTACAGGCCAGGTTCGACGGGGCCCAGTGACCTTACGCTCATGAACCATCTTGATGACATCCTTCCCTCTGCTCGTGCACTTGGTGCCAACCTCATACTCGCCGGTGATTTTAATGTGCATAACCGCAATTAGCTCCATAGCTCGAAGACCACACCTGCGGGGGAAGCCCTCGAAGACACATGCACAGCCCACTTTCTCACGCAGCACGTTCAGAGTCCTACTCGCGGGGATAACACACTCGACTTGGTGATGTCCACATTCAACTCTCCAGTGACCACGCAGATAATGTCCCCTACTGGTCGATCTGACCACGCTGTAATTCTTTCGGACTTCACAGGTGATCTTCCTACCCATGAAGCGGCGGTGCAACGAACTGTCTGGCGCTATAAAAAGGCAGACTGGAACCGCCTCCGATCCTTTTTCCGCCAGGTTGATTGGTCAACCGTCATTACTGCCAACCCAGAAACTTCGTGTGAGCACGTTACTGCCACAATCATGAAAGCCGTTTCCCAGTTCGTTCCGTCCAAGACACTGACAGTGAAGTCAACGGATCCGAAATGGTGCACACCTGAGTGTGCAGCCACCATGAAGGAGAAGGACAAACGCTGGCGCACTTGGAGAAAGCACCCTCACGATTTTGCACTGAAACATGAGTTTACCCGTTCCGTAAACAATGCTATCGCAGTCCTCGCTACATCTAGAGTTTCCAAAGAGAACAGCCTCAGACATAGCTTGTCGAATGGGTCCTTGAAGGAGAAGGAATGGTGGACGAAGCTAAAGTGCGCTTGTGGCGAGGGTCGGAACACTGACATTCCCCTGCTCGTTGATAGTGAAGGTTGCGAGAGGGCCACAAGCTATGAGAAATCGGAGGCTTTCGCACGTTTCTTTTCCCACAAGTGCAGTGTGCAAGGCCGCGACCTAACCACGTTGGACTTACCGGACACGGCATTCGCTGACGCACCTGCACTAACGACAGTCCACTTTCGCCCCGATGCAGTCCACCGGCATTTAGCTCGCCTGGATGCCTCAAAGGCGACTGGACCCGACGGTATTTCCGCTCGTGTTTTGAAGGAATGCGCTAGAGAACTTGCCAAGCTACTGTGTCGGCTCTTTGCTCTTTGCTTCCAGCACGGAGTCCAGCCACAAATGTGGAAGACTGCCAGCGTGGTTCCAATCCACAAGCGATCTTCACGATCCGCCCTAAGGAATTATCGTCCAGTTTCACTGCTGAGCATAATCTCTAAGATCATGGAGAGCGTTATCAATCGTCAGCTCATGAATCACCTTGAGCGTTACAAACTCCTGACGCCCCACCAGTTCGGGTTTCGTCGCCGCCTCGGGACCTCAGATGCGCTACAGGCTCTACACCACGCCTGGATCACAGCCGTCGGACGAGGCGGTGCAGCACGTATTCTAGCCGTGGATATTGCCGGAGCATTCGACCGTGTGTCCCATGCTGGCCTCCTCCACAAAGTCCGCCATCTTGGCATTGGTGGCCCCCTGCATACCTGGCTCTCTTCCTACCTAGGTGGACGGTCCATTCAATGCTTGGTGGGCGGCCAAACCTCATCGCTGTATACCATATCAGCAGGAGTTCCCCAAGGGAGCATACTCGGCCCTACACTCTTCCTGATTTACGTGAACGACGCCTCAGAGACCCTGTCACCCGGAGCCCACCTGGAGGCGCATGCCGACGATACTACCTTGTATAGCCTGATATCCCTCGACACATCCCCAGCCGACGCAGCATTGAGCCTCCAGACTTCTGTGGATCGCTTGCATCAGTGGGGCCGCAGATGGCGCATCTCCTTCGAACCGTCGAAGTCCCAAGCCATGACCGCCACTCTCCGCAGAACCCCCATCAATTTGCCTCGCATTGTCTTCGGCGGCACTCCTGTCCTTGAGGAGAAGGCTCTCTCTTTACTTGGAGTGACCTTTGACTCGAAGCTGTCATTCAGCACTCATCTCCGGAAGGTTGCCACTCGAGCCAAACAACGCCTGGGCTTCCTGCGCCGTGCAGCGCACATTCTCTCTCCAGCCGGCCGCACCACAGTATACAAGGCATTTGTTCGAACAGTTATGGAGTATGCCCCCCTCATCTGGATAGGTGCTCCGCCCAGCTACCTGCAACGCCTGGATCATATCCAACGCTGTGCTCTGCGAATCATCGGTCCAGGTGCACTATTACCTAGCCTGGCCATCCGTCGTACTGTTGCCTCGCTTGCCTGCCTATACAAGCTGCATTACCTGCCTGGCCCTCCGCAGCTACTCTCTGTTTTGCCACCGCGCCATTTCCCCTCATCCAGCCCCAGAACTCGCAGCGAGCATGTTAGCGTCATTGGCCATGATCACCAGCTCCAACACCAGCTGCTTGCATCTGTCCCGCTGGCATTAAAGCGCTCGTTCCCACACTGCAGTATCAGTGACTGGAACTCCCTCCCCGCCGCTCTTCTGTCCCAGCCTCCCCACAGCAAGGGAATACAAGCATTCAAAACTAATGTTTATCGCCATCTGCGAAGCACAAACTGGCTCTGGGCAGTCGACTCGCTATGATGATGCTCTCGTCGTTCTCCTCTATCCCTATCTATGCACCACAACTGGCTCAGACAACCGACTCACCATGATCAGCCATGATGATGCTCATCTCAGTAACAGCCCTTGTAATTTGTTAATAGTCTCACAGTTTCTCCCGCACACTCGCTGGTGTTAACCCTGCAGGCCTTCCTTTCTTTTCATTTTGCTGACTCGTACAGCTCTATCTTTTGTTTTTGGTGCGTGTTTTTGGTGCGTGTTTTTGGCCGTGATGCCGAGACCTCAGGTCGGCAGAGCCATCAATGCCCCACCATCACTGCTGCGTCTCGCGTCAGCCCCTGCTCAATAGTTGTCACGTTCGTCCTAGTCTCAGTATCATTGTCTTTCTTATTATTTTCGAGCTGGGAATGTGAACATAATTATTAAAAAAAAAAAAAAAACAGGTTTTACTGTATTATGCTTTATGGTATAATAAGCGCCCTCCAGTTCTTGGGGATAATCAGCTGAAAACCATTTTCAGAACTTCTTTCCATCAAACACTGGGGCATCAACAACACACTTCAGACTGTAAGAAAGAAGGCAATGATTGCTCACCATAACTGAGGATTCGCATTGTGTCTGTTTCCAGCATGAGGGGATAGCTTTTACCAGCTCCTACCCTTTCCAGTAGATACGTTTTAATACCCTGAGCTAGAGTGCTGTTTTGGATACTGGGCAGGGTTAGCTGTGCAGGCAGAATAATGTTGCTCGTCGCAGTCAGGGCTGTGCTTGATGGCGATGTTCCATAGCTACATAGAACATTTACATGGGAGAAGACGATTATCAGACACATTTTGTTTGTCCGACAATTGTGTAATTGTGGAACACTGAATTAAAAAATGCATGTATCTGGCATTTTACAGCAGAAATGCATAAATGGAGAGCCGCAACCCCCCCCCCCCCCTTCACCACAATCCTGGAGACATCACTGGTTCGCACATATAAATATTCTCGTCTGTTGTGTCTAACATGACGGCCAGTATTGTACACTATGTGTTCCGATAGCTGCAACCCTTATCAAGATAGTGTTGAGAGTGTATGAGCAGAGCATGTTCGATATGATCCCGGATTTGACTTCGACTTTCTTTATAGCCTTGGACATCGTGTAGGCAATCAGGCTCAATAGGTTGGTCGAAGACCATGATTGTAAAACAAGAGGTATCAGATTGAAATCGTGCTTGGAAGCGGAAGAATGCTTTCCAGCCATGCTGCGACTCACAGTAAATTGGGAACTCGTGGCCTGGCACGAGGAAAACATGGATGTGGCAATTGGGATTTCGGCCTTTGACGGCTCTGGTTGGTGGATCTGATCTATCCTCTCCAACCGTTTAGGAGCCCCATCTGACGCCTGATCATGGGGCGGTGGCATCCTACGGAAATCGAAAAGTGGTTCTTGATCCGCCCTGTACGCGAACCTGTACAATTGTTTTTCTTGGGCATCATGCCGAATTTCCGCAGTTTTGTTTCAGTGCCCTCCAAATACGATAGTCTGATCTTACATAATGTGTGGCATCTGTGGATGAAACGGCAACTCAATCTTACCGAATTCTTACAATCTTGTTCTCGATCTGGACCTCAACTCCAAACAAAGATTTAAGCTACATATGCAGGACAAGAATATGCAGCATGAAAATGAACGATTCGATAATCGTGCCAAGAAAAAGGAAAGCCTGGAGAGTCCGGACACTAAGAGTGCATGAAAGAGGGATCAAATGCACTGCTAAATCAGAATTCTTTGGGGGATTACTGTGATAGCCCTTTTCAGGTCTAGACATCATGAATTAAATCGTGAAAATACTTCAAAATAGTATGACCAGCTAACCAGAACGGTTCGGTGTAAATCCCAAAGTGTCCAAGCGTCCTGCAAGTATATGATTTCAATGCGTTTAAAATTCATAAGAGAGGTGGAAAGGCGAAATAAATAACGTTCATTTACCGTCTTTGTCACAAGGTCCCTTGCTTCCTGATCACTATCCACAGTCGACAGTGACGAGCTGGTGTAACTTGAAGATATCTCAAAATGACTAGACTCTGCAAACAAAAACGGTCACAAAATGTATCTAGGAAAATAACACCTGCCTTTAGAATAACATGGTTTGGATTTTACTTTCTGACATACAACCAAAAACTGTCTTATAAAATTGTCCTGCTATTTTTTGTTACAATACAAATAAAAGCAATACAATATAAACATCTATATTCGACGAACGCGTATTCACATATTCGACCTGATACTAGCCACTCAATCTTTTGGTCAATCTCCCTTACTCCCTCTCTCTCTTTATCACACTTGCTGACTCTTTGCCATGTTACAGGACTTACCATGCACACTCAGGAAAGTAACTGACATGACTGGTTCATTGCTGACTGAATTGCTGGCCATGCACTTATACAGGCCAGCATGGCATGGCTGCACGTTGTCTATCACAAGCGTCACTGTATCACCATCAAGAACATATTTGTCATCCCAGTCGCCTTGCTCAGCCCAATCACTGCTAACTGTCCTGAAAGCCATGCAGTCCTTGGATGCTGCCAAAGCATTACACCGGCCATCTTGCCCGATATGGCACCAGCGTGCAACAGGACGTGGTCGTCCTTGGATGGTGCAGGGTATTGACAATGTTGAGCCGATCAGAGTGCTTGTCCTCAACGAGATTTTAGGCTTGATAAAGGCAGCGACTAAGCCGAGAACATTGAAAAGAGAGGTAGGTCAGGAATGAGGTAAATCACAATCCTAGAAGAAGGTGATGTGATTCGAGGTCATGCTCATATAAGCTATAACTTGAGAGCAGTGATGTTACTGCACAATGAATATGCAGAAGCATGTTTGGTTGGCTGTTCACACATTCCACCTCTTGACTTCCATTCTTTTGACCATTTTATTACATGTACAAGTATGAACCCAGCCTCTTGTACGAGCACAATATACACAAGCGCAACCTCGACAGAAAGAAGATGAGGTAAAATGGCTGTGAACACAGTCTAATACCGAGGCAGCTATAAATGACTGTGAAAAAACAGTCTGATCCTGAGGGAGCTAAACTACCTGCGAAAACTACTTTTGACCTCTGTACCTAACATGTCATAAGCCATAATGTACTCAGGACGACACCATAACTGACTTTGGATACGTGTGAGTGAGGGCGTGTCACACTCCCTAGGTTCTCATATATAGGGAGCGAATGATTTAGATAATCTGACCTCAGAAGGCAAGAAGGAGCAATGCATGCAAGATCTTGTCTCGAGGGTTCTAGTCACTATTTTAGAACTACACACACACGACCACAGCTTCAGCCTGCGTCTAGTCTCACCTTGAATATCTAGAAATGTTGATGCCTTGCTTGAGCCCAGGTTCGGGTCAATAATCTCCTTGTTTGCAGCCATACATGTAATGTTGCCGTGATCATCCCAGTGACTCACTGATAGTATTGTCAGCGTGTGTGGAACTCCTGCACATGGAAAACATACGTGGGTGTGAAACTCAGTGACCTAACATGCGAGTAGATTCATTCTATTCTAAGTGGGTGGGTGGCACTGCTCGTTGTGCATGGAGCGCTATTCGAGCAACATTTCCTTGCCGTGTTTTATTTTACAAGATAATGTATCGTTCTCCGGTCAAATATGGGCTTGGCACAAATATAAACTGTTCACTGAAACAATGTGATTTCCATGATTTCAGTTTTCAAAAGAAAACAATCTGCAATTCAAAGTCAATGCATTGAGAAATCAACACAGTGTAATAGCAATTTCAAATCTTCCGCAAAGCATGCGCCAATCTATAATAGACTTACTGTTTATTCGATAGGTTCTACTTGGACTGATGGTGCGGTCATGGCTGTCATGCCAGGTAACAGCAATGAGTCCATCTCCAGACACATTGCATGGAATCGTCACTGCGCTGCCCTCCATGATGGTTAGTTTCTCGGGCACTTCGGCTTGTGGTGACTCTGTATCAGGGCCACAGTAAACGAGCAATATTTACCATCTCTCTCAATTTACACATCCACAATAATAATTTGTTGAGTTCCTCGAGATACTTTGTCACTTTGCACCCTGTTAGGAAAGTTATTTGGTGATCAGCATCACTCAGTGCTATCTTCCGAAGACAAGCTTCTTCAGAGCAAATTTCCTATAGTGTTTAATCTTCACAGCTACTAAAAGAATTGAACACAAGTAACACTATCAATGGGCATTGACACCAGGAAGGAAACAGGTCACAGGAACTCACTTATGCAGTGGCCGAGTTTGTCAGAGTACTGGGCGTCCAATGTGCACTTCGTTCTTGTGGTGCCCACCGATGCATATCCCTGGAAGCAAAGCAGAGTGACTGTCTGGCCAACGGGAACTTGGCTATCTGGTCTGAGCTGACCATTCCGGGTTAAGGAAAGCATAGAGCATAGTCTTGCTGCAGATGTGATATAAGAACGCAAACAAAAAAAGTGCTACATGTACTCACAACGAGACAAACATTCTTGACAACCAGCATACATGACCAAACAACTTGGCCAGAAGAATGATTACATGTACTAGCAACTGCAATGGAATCTCAATAACATGATCAGTGTAACGATTCGGCCATTCAATGTTACAACGGGAAATTTTAAATGGACTCATTTTTTTATCTTTCCTACTCCTGCTACCCCCACCCCCAACTATGCCACCCACTGATCGTTGCTCTGTAAAGACTTACCATTACAAATTGTGCCATTTCCGGAGAATCCTGCACTACACTGGCAAATATAGCTGCCCACTGTGTTGCTGCATGCCGCGTTCGCATCGCAATCATGTGAGCGTAGCTGGCACTCATCCGTATCTGTGTGTCAACCAAAAGATCAAAACATGACACTTCGCGTGAGACTCAGCTGGACTGTATTCCATAACTGATGCAATTTCTACGCCATGGAGTACAGCATGGACAGCATGAACAGCTAGGAAAATAATAGGTATACCCTGTAGAAAGCAAAGCATGATCATTATGAAAAGTACCAATGCAGCCCGTGTACAGCAGTCCACAGATCTGAATCCACATCCGTCATCATGTCGAAATGAGCAAGCACATCCAACTGGACATATACAGTAGAACTTTGCACTTTGCTAGCACAAAGCATCTCTGCATTTGGTCCCTGTTACACTTTCATTTCTCCTGGGGAAATTTTCTTTTCCTCTTTTCAAGTGGACAATCAACCATCACATGTAGCAGAGCTCAATACAGACAGAAACGGAAAGGTTAGCATTACATCGCTGCCCTGTATGCTAAATGTTCTATTACAATTATCATACAAACTTACCTTTGCAGGTTAATGTCTGTCCACTCCATGTTCCTTGTGCTCCACACGTTCTCTGTGTGTCGCCCTGGTCCACCGCATAACCCGCTCTGCAGCTAGTAACTATGACATCATCTTCCTCGTATGCAGCCGTTCCTGCCTTGAACTGGCGGTTCTTCAGTGCCGAATTCTGGGATAAGAATGGCTCATTGCAAGCTGCTCCTGAAGTGACACAAGTTGTACATGGAAGGCACAGTTATCTGGGTAATCAGTAACCAAAATCAACAATAACTTGCCAACTTGTCGCAGAGCAGCTGTGTGCAGTTGCATAATCGGTAGCTTTTGCCTCGAATATATTGTCACATTTGAAAAGTTCCTCCAGCACCACCTCCGCTTTGCTGTCACATGTCTTCGCTGTGACGCATCATTATACACAAATACACCGCATGAAAGATTATTCAGCAAAATAGGACATGAACACCGGTCACTTCTCAGTACTCACTTCCAGGGCTACGGCACATTTTCGCATGTGAACACCATTGTGCCTGGCCTGGTATTTCAGTGGAATTTGAAATGTTTTTCTTCAAAACCTTTGCAATATTCTGCAGAAATATTGATAAGGGACATTCAAGGCGTACCTTTGTAGAGACGAAGCAGGACACTATAGTTGGCCTGTCCACTGTGCCAGGAGGTAAAGTTCTCAAAACTATCCATTGAAGCAGACCTGCCTGCTGCATTATCCCTCACGCAGATAGTCAGACTGACATTACGGCTGCTTTGGAGACGCGCATGAATTCCAGTCGCATTTGCAGTCAGCATAATACTGAACATGTCGTTCTGACTTAGGCTGAACATAGCGGAGATACTTGCGTCAGATACCGCGCAGATCCTGAACGATGATACACCTGTGGCAGGCTCGGAAACGTTGATGTGAAATGTTGTCACATTTATCACAGCGCCATTGCTCCTTAACCTCATTGTAAGTGGCTGTACGTCAGCCATAGTCATCACGGGTGAAGCACGCCAAAGTACAGCTAGTTCGTGGACACAGTAACTGGGAAAGATCACCATTACCTGATAGGGGATGATAGGACTGAGAAATTGACCAGCACCTGTCACCGAGGTGATCACGGCTTCATTTGAGGAATTGCTACTGTTCCAATCAAGTGCAAGATCAGTCACCGGCATACCATTGTATAACCCTATAATTGTAGGTACCCACTTCGGATATGCAGAACTGTTTGCTAATTTCACTAGCACTGCTCCTCTTGCGGAGTTTTCGGTCACGTAAACATTGCTCACCGATGACGGATAACAGGGTTCTGAGGTCACACAAGGCATATAAAACGAACCGAAAGGCTGGATGATGACTGAATTTTAAGGGAGCTTTTCCTATTCTCGATTAACTTGTTGTGTATCAACGATTGGAGAAAAAGACCACCTAGCATTCTAGGGCGGTCTTCTTGGGCTGCTCATTTGATGCTTCATCACATATCTTTATGAGAAAGCAAGATTGTTCGTAAACCAGTCTCTCACGAATATTTATGCTCATGAATATGTACGCTTGTATATACAGACTAGCATGTATGCATACGATCCCAAACAAGTTACATACAACCATGCACGGCATTGCGCAATGCAGACAACATGCAACTATCGTGTTGTAAAGCTTACTGAGACACTGAGGAACTGAGGCATTGTAGGTACCATGGCCAGTGCAGTACAGCATTGTATAGCCAGTGGCAATGTAGCCCTTGAAGCATACAACTTTAACCATTTGCCCATTGGTTATCGGAAAGAAGCTGTACTTTCCATTGATGATGGTAGGCTGTGGGCAAGCAACTGCAGAGAAAAACCAAAAGCGCAATGATTAGGTGCTTAGATAGTGACTGGAAAGCTAAGTTAGCCTTTTCAAGAGTCACAGGGTCAATATATTGATGACTATATCATTCAATGTGATCATATGCATTGTTTGTGCATCATCCTCAAGCATTTCCCATCCCACTTGATCCGCGAAATTACAACATTCCTACATTTTCACTAGTTTGTAGTTTCACTACATTTCCGTATAATAATGTCCTGAGTCCATTGCTTATCCCGAGTGAGCACCAACACAAGCAATAATGACTTGGTGACAGGCATAAAGTGAATCTTTTTGCGTTTCGCATGCGGATGCAGTTTTTGGCGCTCTGCCCAAACGTGAGATTTTGACTCTTTTCGTAGTTCGGTGAGCCTTTGGCTCCCGTGGACCCACGGAAACGAAGATTAATGCTGAGATAGACCTCGCCCTGCTGGGCTTTGACAGGCTGAGAGAGCTGGGACGGCAACAGGGCATTGTTGGATGCGATGGCCTCGCAAGACCGGAACTGGTCTGTGCGCTGCGGGACGCTGGAATTGGATCTCACTGGACCTGTAGTAGTAAGTCGCAGTCTGACACTCTAACTAGCCTAGTAGACCAGGTCACTTGCCTCACCAAGGAGCTATCCTTGATAACATCAATGAAGGCCGAAATACTTACATTGAAGGCAGATTTGGCCGATCTACGTGCATTGTCTGTACCCCATGACAATTTGCAGAGCTACCACCCTGCTGGAGCTCTTTTGAAACCAACCTTGCCTGCTGTCACCGTACAACCCCAGAACCTACGCACATCACCAAATGCAACCCAGATTGAAACCAGGCCCGCCAAAAAACGGCACCTATCATCCTCCAGCACTGTACAGCACCACCGTATAGGCTGGGCACCAGGGACCAAATAAGGCACACGACACACGTAATGAGACCACCGTTCCCTCGACACGAGTCACATCGTACTACGAGAATCGCCCAAAGCCCTCGGAACAGCTGTCAGGAGGGTCCCGCACGAAGTGTTGCGCACTATATTTGGGCAACGTAAAGAGTGGATGCTCCTCTGACTCGATTGCCAAGTGGTGTACAAGACGAGAAATACAAGTGATCAAGTGTTCAGTCTCCGAAACCAAGTACTTTGGAGTGGCATTCGCCCACGTCGTCATTCCAGCGGAACGCAAGGAAGCAGCCCTCGGTCCAGATTTCTGGCCTCCAGAGGTCACTGCAAGAGAATGGCGCTTTAAGCAGGACAGGATCACCTTTGACCACGCTTCAAATCCGTAAACATGTCTACTCTAAATCCACTCGCACCACCCTTCACCCCCAGATCACATCCTTCATCCTTCTCAGTGCTCTCACTTAACTGCCGCTCCATAGTAAATAAGTTAGCTGAGCTTAGTCAAGTCTGTGAGCAGTATTCTCCAGACATAATCTGCCTATGTGAAACGTGGCTGACAGCTGCCATAGACGTCTCAATTCCAGGCTACACGTCATACCGCCTGGACCGCCCACCCACGACCAGCTCTGATAACCTGCCAGCAAGAGGCTATGGCGGTGTTGCTACTCTTGTAGCTGACAGATCGTTCATGTCCATCAAGCGCCGCTTCGACCTTGAGCGCTGTGGACTGGAGGCGGTTTGGCTCGAATTGCGGCCAGTGATCCTTCCCTCACTCCCCCTCATCATCTGCTCTGTTTACAGACCCCCTGGAGACAGCATCTCCCAAGTCCAGGCATTTAGTGACCTCCTAGAGGACTGTCTGTCTACTATTAGCCTTCCCAATTCGGCGATTGTACTTGCAGGAGACTTGAATGCTCGCCACTCTGACTGGTCTCCTAGTGACACCACGAATCGTGCTGGAAGGGAGTTCCGTAACCTCTTCTCTTGTTTTGGCCTTGAGCAAATGGTGACATTCCCCACACACTTTACCCCCCACGGCTCAACATCGTGTATTGACGTTGTACTCACGGATCATCCTCACCTACTACTCTCTGTTACATCTGTTGCTCCTCTTGGTGCATCTGACCACGCACAGATCCTCAGTCCTTTCCTACTGCCTACTGATGCTGTTTACCGTGAGGAACCTGCTGCAAGCGGACATCCCGCTGCTGCACCCCAAAGCCACTTCAGCAATGTTCCTGCAAAGCCGGAATATGACTTTAAATCCGTGCCATCTTCCGTCTGGGATAGTGTGAATGCAGAGCTCTCTGATATTGACTGGAGCTGGCACCTGCGTGCCAGCAACGTCGATGATGCGCTTTCACACTTTTCTTCCATTCTCAACAGTGCCCTTGAGAAGCACCTCTGGCCATTCGGAAAGCAGCCGTATTCTCACCGCTGCCCACGGCCCAGTCAGCCACCCTGGGTTGATGCCCATCTCCGCACAGCAATCAAGTGGAAATATGATCTCTATAGCATTTTTAGGAAGTACCCAACACAACAAAACAAACAAGCATACCAACAGCAGCGAAATATAGTGAAAACCCTGACGCGGACAAAGTACAGAGCTTATATCCGCTCAATGAAAACTACTTTGCAGGGTAGACACCGTCCATCGCTTCACCAGTTTGTGAGACAAGCAAGAATTCGAAACGTATCACGGTAAATTCCGTCACTCACAACAGGGACTCAGCAGGCGGCTGACCCTTTGGCCAAAGCTACGGCATTAAACGCCCAGTTTGCCTCTGTGACTCGGCCAGATGACCCGTTGCTCTCTATTCCCCCTATTCTCACCCCCTCGGAGCCCTCAGCTTGTTTCACGTCCGTCATCACCACAACTGCCACTGTCCGGCGTCATCTGAAGAAGCTTCCAACGTGCAAGGCGTCTGGTCCTGACGCCATCCCCAACCGGGTCCTCAAGGCCCTGGCACCATCCATAGCATTCCCTTTGTGCCATATTTTCAACATGTCATTTACCACGGGCATATTCCCTTCCGCATGGAAAACAGCGAAAGTCATACCTGTATTCAAGAAAGGTTCCCACCACGAACCTGCAAACTACCGCCCTATCTCTCTTCTTCCCTGCGTGTCCAAAGTATGTGAACGCATCTTTTATGACCACTTATACAGACATGTTTCGCCGTTTCTGAGTCCCGCACAATCTGGGTTTCGTAAAGGCGACTCCACCTCTCTTCAACTGACCCGCATCGTGCAGCAGGTGTGCCAGCATAGGGATAACAGAGCGCTTGCTGGCATTTGCTTCTTTGACTTGGCCAAGGCTTTTGATACCGTCTGGCATCGAGGACTTTTGGCAAAGCTCGAGCATGCATTCAGGGTACGCAAACAGCCACTCTCCTGGCTGAAATCTTATCTCTCTGGGCGTTATCAGTACGTAACTGTGCTTGGCACATCCTCGGCTGCAGAGCCAGTATTGTCGGGCGTTCCTCAAGGATCAATTCTTGGTCCCCTACTATTTATAATTTACGTAAACGACTTACCTGCAGTCTTCCCTGGAACGTCTCTGTTTGATGACGACACGACCCTTCTCACCTCATCAGCTTCCCTCACTGGCCTGAAAAACAACTTGCGTGCTGGCATTCAGGAAGTTCTTTCCTGGATGTCGTCCTGGAGGTTGTCCCCAAATCTATCAAAAACAAAGATCATGCTCTTCCCGCCCCAGCCGGAGTTCACAACCCTCATCCATGCCAACTTTCCAAATCCAATTGACATAGTGTCTTCTCACAAACACCTTGGCATTGTGATTGACTCTGCACTCTCTTGGGTACCTCACATCGAATATATCTGTAAAAAATCAAGTAAATCCTTAGGAATTCTCTCCCCCCACTGCTCCTACCTCCCACTTTCTTGCAAGCTTCTTTTTTATTTCGCCTACCTTCGCCCAATATTTCATTATGCAGATACGTCTTGGGTTGGGTTATCCTCTTCCGCTGCTGCAAAGCTTGAAATACATCACAAGAAAATCCTTAAAATTCTCCTCCGTCAACCCCGCATGCTCTCATCATCCGCCCTTTATAAAATCGCTCACACAACCCCGTTATCACATGGACGCAGTGCACACCTGGCTTCTCTTGTCCATTCTATTAAGCTTGAGTTGTGCCCACCTCATCTCATGTGTTTTAATTGGTTCTCTTCTCTAAGAACTAGAAACTCACTCTTACTCCCTAAGTGTAACTCATCCACTCTTTTGCGCTCCCTTCTCTTTATTGCTTATTCTGTTTGGCTCACTCTACCCAGAGAAGTTAAGGACCTGACCTCACTCCGCCTGTTTAAGATCCGTGCCGCCCCTTATTTACTACGACATGCATAGCTCATTATTTTTTTTTTTTTTTTTTTTTTTTTACTATGTTCACATTCCCAGCTCGAAAATAATAAAGAAAGACAATTATACTGAGACGAACGTGACAACTATTGAGCAGGGGCTGCACCGAGACGCAGCAGTGATGGTGGGGCATTGATGGCTCTGCCGACCTGAGGTCTCGGCATCACGGCCAAAAACACGCACCAAAAACAAAAGATAGAGCTGTACGAGTCAGCAAAATGAAAAGAAAGGAAGGGTTAACATCAGCGAGTGTGCGGGAGAAACTGTGAGACTATTAACAAATTACAAGGGCTGTTACTGAGAGGAGCATCATCATGGCTGATCATGGCGAGTCGGTTTTCTGAGCCAGTTGTGGTGCATAGATAGGGATAGAGGAGAACGACGAGAGCATCATCATAGCGAGTCGACCGCCCAGAGCCAGTTTGTGCTTCGCAGATGGCGATAAACATTAGTTTTGAATGCTTGCATTCCCTTGCTGTGGGGAGGCTGGGACAGAAGAGCGGCGGGGAGGGAGTTCCAGTCACTAATACTGCAGTGTGGGAACGAGCGCTTTAATGCCAGCGGGACAGATGCAAGCAGCTGGTGTTGGAGCTGGTGGTCATGGCCAATGACGCTACCATGCTCGCTGCGAGTTCTGGGGCTGGATGAGGGGAAATAGCGCGGTGGCAAAACAGAGAGCAGCTGCGGAGGGCCAGGCAGGTAATGCAGCTTGTATAGGCAGGCAAGCGAGGCAACAGTACGACGGATGGCCAGGCTAGGTAATAGTGCACCTGGACCGATGATTCGCAGAGCACAGCGTTGGATATGATCCAGGCGTTGCAGGTAGCTGGGCGGAGCACCTATCCAGATGAGGGGGGCATACTCCATAACTGGTCGAACAAATGCCTTGTATACTGTGGTGCGGCCGGCTGGAGAGAGAATGTGCGCTGCACGGCGCAGGAAGCCCAGGCGTTGTTTGGCTCGAGTGGCAACCTTCCGGAGATGAGTGCTGAATGACAGCTTCGAGTCAAAGGTCACTCCAAGTAAAGAGAGAGCCTTCTCCTCAAGGACAGGAGTGCCGCCGAAGACAATGCGAGGCAAATTGATGGGGGTTCTGCGGAGAGTGGCGGTCATGGCTTGGGACTTCGACGGTTCGAAGGAGATGCGCCATCTGCGGCCCCACTGATGCAAGCGATCAACAGAAGTCTGGAGGCTCAATGCTGCGTCGGCTGGGGAGGTGTCGAGGGATATCAGGCTGTACAAGGTAGTATCGTCGGCGTACGCCTCTAGGTGGGCTCCGGGTGACAGGGTCTCTGAGGCGTCGTTCACGTAAATCAGGAAGAGTGTAGGGCCGAGTATGCTCCCTTGGGGAACTCCTGCTGATATGGTATACAGCGATGAGGTTTGGCCGCCCACCAAGCATTGAATGGACCGTCCACCTAGGTAGGAAGAGAGCCAGGTATGCAGGGGGCCGCCAATGCCAAGATGGCGGACTTTGTGGAGGAGGCCAGCATGGGACACACGGTCGAATGCTCCGGCAATATCCACGGCTAGAATACGTGCTGCACCGCCTCGGCCGACGGCTGTGATCCAGGCGTGGTGTAGAGCCTGTAGCGCATCTGAGGTCCCGAGGCGGCGACGAAACCCGAACTGGTGGGGTGTCAGGAGTTTGTAACGCTCAAGGTGATTCATGAGCTGACGATTGATAACGCTCTCCATGATCTTAGAGATTATGCTCAGCAGTGAAACTGGACGATAATTCCTTAGGGCGGATCGTGAAGATCGCTTGTGGATTGGAACCACGCTGGCAGTCTTCCACATTTGTGGCTGGACTCCGTGCTGGAAGCAAAGAGCAAAGAGCTGACACAGTGGCTTGGCAAGTTCTCTGGCGCATTCCTTCAAGACACGAGCGGAAATACCGTCGGGTCCAGTCGCCTTTGAGGCATCCAGGCGAGCTAAAAGCCGGTGGACTGCATCCGGGCGAAAGTGGACTGTCGTTAGTGCAGGTGCATCAGCGAATGCCGTGTCCGGTAAGTCCATCGTGGTAAGGTCGCGGCCTTGCACACTGCACTTGCGGGAAAAGAAACGTGCGAAAGCCTCCGATTTCTCATAGCTTGTGGCCCTCTCGCAACCTTCACTATCAACCAGCAGGGGAATGTCAGTGTTCCGACCCTCGCCACAAGCGCACTTTAGCTTCGTCCACCATTCCTTCTCCTTCAGGGACCCATTCGACAAGCTATGTCTGAGGCTGTTCTCTTTGGAAACTCTAGATCTAGCAAGGACTGCGATAGCATTGTTTACAGAACGGGTAAACTCATGTTTCAGTGCAAAATCGTGAGGGTGCTTCCTCCAAGTGCGCCAGCGTTTGTCCTTCTCCTTCGTGGCGGCTGCACACTCAGGTGTCCACCATTTCGGATCTGTTGACTTCACTGTCAGTGTCTTGGACGGAACGAACTGGGAAACGGCGTTCATGATTGTGGCAGTAACGTGCTCACACGAAGTTTCTGGGTTGGCAGTAATGACGGTTGACCAATCAACCTGGCGGAAAAAGGATCGGAGGCGGTTCCAGTCTGCCTTTTCATAGCGCCAGACAGTTCGTTGCACCGCCGCTTCATGGGTAGGAAGAACACCTGTGAAGTCCGAAAGAATTACAGCGTGGTCAGATCGACCAGTAGGGGACATTATCTGCGTGGTCACTGGAGAGTTGAACGTGGACATCACCAGGTCGAGTGTGTTATCCCCGCGAGTAGGACTCTGAACGTGCTGCGTGAGAAAGTGGGCTGTGCATGTGTCTTCGAGGGCTTCCCCCGCAGGTGTGGTCTTCGAGCTATGGAGCCAATTGCGGTTATGCACGTTAAAATCACCGGCGAGTATGAGGTTGGCACCAAGTGCACGAGCAGAGGGAAGGATGTCATCGAGATGGTTAATGAGCGTAAGGTCACTGGGCCCCGTCGAACCTGGCCTGTAAGCAGCGCCCAAGACTATCTTTTGTCCAGGGGACAATTGAATGGATAGCCAAATGAGTTCGTGATGTGGAGAAAATAACTCATCAATTACCATGGCTGGGAGTGTAGATCTGATCCATACGGCCACTCCGCCACCGCGTGCTGTTCGATCCAGCCGGAAGGTGGTGTAGCCAGGGAATGTGGAGTCGGATGGTGGAACGGTTTCAGAGGAAAACTTTGTTTCCGTCACTACTGCTATGTCGGGATTATGTTGGTGCAGTGTGTGCTGGAACTCAGCTAGCTTGTTTCCTAAGCTAAATGCATTGGTGCAAAGGAGTCTGAGTGAACATTTAACGGTATTGTGATGAATGACAGAACTAGGCATGGGTGTAAAAATGAAAGGTAAATGTGTATTAAAGCGGTAAGTTTCTGAAGTGACTTACTACAGGACTTGTTGGCCACTCTCAGGAGATTTTCGTTTCCGTTTTTTCCGTTGCTTGGATCCAGTGGTGGTGGCACTCTGGTCCCGATCAGGTGTGACGCTATGGCGTGAACGCTTGGATCGGTTGACTTCCCACCCGCCAGAATCAGGATCATCGTCGCTGTGGCCTCCCAGCTGTGGGCCTAGAGCTGTACATGCATCGCTGTCTGCCTTCTTGGCCTCTCTGTCGGAGTCGCAGGGCAAGTTAGACAGCTGCTGGTTTTCTGGCTTGGATAAGCTTTCGTTGTCGACCAATGATTCAGTATCAGCAGAAAGAGGCAGCTCTTCAGACTCAGAGGAGCTGGAGTCGCTCTTGTCAGCTGCTGGGAGATCCTGCTTAGACTTGGATGTTGGGCATTGTGATTGGGCTTTACTTTGCTGCTCTGTCTGGGGTGGGTTTGCAACCACATCAGACAGGAGTCGACGTGTGCGTTCAGTGTCTGTACATGTAGGTGACGTTGAGTGCCGTGACTGCTGTGTACTACCGGTACTGGCAGTGGTACTGCGGGCCTCAGGGCAGTCCTTGGCAAGGTGCTCTGGCTTGCTGCAAATCCGACACGTGGGCTTTTGGCCACTATAATGTACGCGGAAAGTGCCTTTCCCGTCTCTAGATTTCACGTACGAAGGTACGGCTTTATTCGACCCCAATACAAAGGTTGCAAAACGGACTCCGGTTGCAATAACAACGTTGTCCCGTACCTTAAGTTTACCGTGGCGGATGGCGCCCTGCACGGTACCGTATGGAGCAAGTGCGGCTGTAATGGCGCCATCCGATACCCACACAGGAACATCGTGAATGTGCAACTGAACATGAGTGTTTTCTGTCAAGGATTTTGGAAGGATATGTTGTCCATTGATATGGAAACCATTCTTCACGACTAACTGGGCAAGCTGGATATCTGTGAACGTTAATCTGCATTGGCCTACCGAACTGACCTGGATAGATAGGATGAGCTCAGCTCCTATTCCGTGTTGCTCGAGGCAGCTCACGTACTCGGCGAGTTTCAAATCCTTTGGAGCTGGAAATATCACAGTTCGGGCCATCAGGTCCCTGGCGCTTACTTTCCGCCATGGGTCGACTTCAGCTGGTTCCCGAGATGTATCAGTGGTCTCCATGATCCCGGAACGGGCATATGAGGGGCTAAAACGCCCAACCACGAGATTTTTTTCAGAGCTAAAAAAAGCTTTACCACACGTCACTGAGACAAAAAAGTAGGGGGGGTTATCCACATGTCCTTTGCGTCTCTGTGTTTTTCACTGTTTTTATTTGACATTATCTTTCTTTACGGAGTTGTTGTTGCTGTTCGTTTTGCTACTCTTTCTTTTTCCCTCCCCTTCTTTCTATTTATCGCCGTGGTTGGCAATCACCCACTCTCGTAATATTGGCCGGTGTTTCCGCCGAGTCTTGAGATGTTGCAATAAAAAAATAAAAAATAAAAAAATAAACTATTCTCAGCGTACTCACCTTCACAAAAGCTTCCATTGCCGGCAAAACCCGCATTGCATTGACACACATGGCTGCCGGCTGTGTTGTGGCATGTAGCATTTGCGTGACAAATGTTAAAGTCAAGTTGACATTCGTTCACATCTAAAAACAGAGCCAGGAACAGTGGTTAGTGATAGCGAAGAACTTTTCGTTTGAGTGTGCTCATTTTGAGATGCCAAAATAATACATCACAAGCCTTTCAAATTGGTTCAAACAAAAGTGACAATTTTTGAAGGGCTGCCTGCACAATTGGAATCAGAGAATCAATGTTGGAGAACAGAGGTTTGGGCTGAGCTATCGAGTCTGTGTGAGCAAGTGCTCTTGCACGATATGCTGATAATCTTTTGAAAAGGTCTCTCTGTCCCAGCTGATTGGGTTCTAAGGCAAGATGCAATGTATCTCTTTACTGAATTGCTTACCTAAGCAGATTGGTACTGTTGCACTCAATGATCCATTCTCCAGGCAGGAAACTGCAGTGATGTTGTTGGACTGTAGGAACCCACTAGCGCAGGTGACATTCAGCCATTCTCCAACACTCAAAGCAGTGTTGTTGGTGTTGAATGACCCGTTCTGCGGAGCCTCTGGAACTATACATTCAGTAGCTATGGAAGTGGAATGGGCATACCATACAAAAACAAAAATTGATAAGAACTCAGCTCATGGTGAATTCCAACACATAATTATGGGCAGCACAGTTACCCAACTACCCGTGCACACCACTAATTAAAATACAGGCGTGCAAACCATACTCATTTCCCTTGCCTTTTCGCCATTGCCATTCCAATCAATACAACACATATCCCCAGTTATGAGTGTTCATTATTTGGATTGCAATAAATTCTGTTTTCCACACTAATAAGACACACACACAAATGTGTTTTGTCAGGAGTCTAAATACCAGTTTCTTTTCGACTCTCTCATACACACCGTAACAACGACAATAGAACTGCAGGGTCGCAGCAACAGCTGCTCCAAGAACAATCTTCAGATCAGCATGCACCTTCATGTGCATACTGCAACTCCGCACTGTGCAGCCAGTGCGTACCGCACTCTCAGCACAGTCCGTGAACTCTGGACTGTGCACTCGCGTTTCGAAAAGAACAGAATTTCTTGTTTTCTTCGTTGCTCTCATCCAACAAGAAATGAGGCATATCTTGCCTATACTATCTTCCCTGCAAAATCGTTTAATGTGATGGTACATTAATACCATTGTTTGTGCACTATACTCAGGAACTAATCATCACACTTGATCCACGTAATTGACACATGCCTGAACCTCCAAATAATGTCTAACGTCCATCGCTGGGTCAATCAGAATACGAGTGAGCCACAGAAGAGAAGCATGTAAAAATGGCTTAGTGGCGTTCACAAAATAATCCCAGCACACCTACCTTCACAAAAGCTTCCATTGCCGGAAAAACCAGCATTGCATTGACACACATGGCTGCCGGCTGTGTTGTGGCATGTAGCGTTTGCATGACAAATGTTAAAGTCAAGTTGACATTCGTTCACATCTAAAAACAGAGCCAGTAACAGCGGTTAGTGATAGCGAAGAACTTTTCGTTTGAGTGTGCGCATTTTCAGATGCCAAAATACATCACAAACCTTTCAAATTGGTTCAAACAAAAGTAACATTGTACGGCTGCCTGCACAATTGGAATCAGAGAATCAATGTTGTAGAACAGAGGTGTGGGTTGGGCTATCGAGTCTGTGTGAGCAAGTGCTCTTGCACGATATGCTGATAATCTTTTGAAAAGGTTTCTCTGTCCCAGCTGATTGGGTTCTAAGGCAAGATGCAATCTCTCTCTTTACTGAAGCTAACCTAAGCAGATTGGTACGATGGCACTCAATGAGCCATTCGCCAGGCAGAAAACTGCAGTGTTGTTGTTGGACTGTAGGAACCCACTAGCACAGGTGACACTAAGCCATTCTCCAACACTCAAGGCAGTGTTGTTGGTGTTGAATGACCCGTTCTGCGGAGCCTCTGGAACTATACATTCAGTGGCTACAGAAGTGGAATGAGCACACCATACAATACCAAGAACAAAGATTGAGATGAAATTATCCCATGATGAATTCCAACACATAATTATGGACATATGGCACTATTGGTGGCATGCAGAATAATTGCTCAAATTACAGGTGTGCAAGCCAAGTGAGCACCAGAAGAGAAGCATTACCGGTAATGGCTCACTGACAGGCATAAAATAATCCTAGCATACATACCTTCACAAAAGCTTCCATTGCCAGCAAAACCAGCATTGCATTGACACACATGGCTGCCTGCTGTGTTGTAGCATGTAGCGTTTGCATGACAAATGTTAAATACAAGTTGACATTCGTTCACATCTACAAACAGAGCCAGGAACAGCGGTAAACACTTTGGTGATAGCAGAGAACTTTCCGTGTGAGTCTGTGCAAATTGAGATCTTAAAATATATTACAAGCCAATGCCTTTCAAATTGGTTAAAAACAAAATTGACATTGTATGGCTCCCTCCACAATTGGACTCAGATAATCAATGTTGGAGAGCAGAGGTATGGGCTGGGCTATCGAGTCTGTGTGAGCAAGTGCTGTTGCAGGTTAAGCTGATAACATTTTGAAATGGTCGCTCTGTCTCAGTTGATACGGTTCTAAGGCAAGATGCAATGCATCAGAATAGCTTTAGGCCATGATGCAGTCTTTCACGACTGTTGTTACTCATTACTGTTTTCTGATAATCGCTTAGTGCATGAGACTCGCAGTAAAGACACCTTTTTTAATCCTCTTATTTTTGAAGCTTACCTAAGCAGATTGGTACGGTGGCACTCAATGAGCCATTCGCCAGGCAAGAAACTGCAGTGTTGTTGTTGGATTGCAGGAACCCACCAGCACAGGTGACACTAAGCCATTCTCCAACACTCAAGGCAGTGTTGTTGGTGTTGAATGACCCGTTCTTCGGAGCCTCTGGAACTATACATTCCGTGGCTACAGAAGTGAAATGGGCGTACCATACAATGCCAAAAACAAAATTTGAGACGAACTGAGCTCAGGACGAATTCCAACACATATGGGCAAATGTCAGTATTTGTTTCATGCAGAATAATTGCTCAAAATACAGGCGTGCAAGCCCTACTTATTTCCTCTGCCTTTTCACCATTGCCATTCTAATCATTACAACACATCTCCGAAGTTATGAGTGTCCATTACTTGGTGTACAATCGATTCTGCTTTCCACAAAATGTAAGTTTTTATGTAGAGGTCTTCCTGCGCACAAGGCACCATGGAAGAGGCCTCCATAGTGGTTCTCGATAATGTCAACTTGTACCCCATGCTCTGGACAGCCAAATCTGTACTTATGACGCAGTCGCTCCATATCCGTGGGAAGATACCTGACAGAACATAAGATAGGGTCCTCAAATGTGGTATTTCAGACGCCTTAGTAATAATGAGGGTGGTACTTTCATGCAGGTTGGCCGAGTGGAGGGTTCAATGGACTTCTCATATACCGCCCTCTGGATGGCAGTCGAGAGTCGGTCAATTGAGATTTCGAGTCGGCAGGAAAAGCGCGAGCTCTCACGCAGGAAGCAACACACAAATCCTTGAGTAACAATAGTCCCTAAACTAAAGCATGACTGACTACTAGAGTAATAAATAACAATATGGCACCCAGCCTTTATTACACAATCAGCCTGCATAGTGCACTGTAATCAGTCACAAAAACGTTTTTCCTTTTCTTTTAGTCTGGAACTGCCTCTTCTACACGCACAACTCAAAAACATTTCATTGAAAACCGGTACGTTCGGAATGTTCGCCTTCCACGTGAAAAAAAGTAAATAAAAACAATTATAGGAAATGCACCAAAACCTGCAATCTCTCGAAACAGCGCACCAGCTTTTGCCTGACTACTTCGAGTTTAAACGACAAACACAGTGCATGGACGTAACTGCATGATATGGAGGAAGTGCGCCGTGCATCGAGACCCTAGAAAGGAGACCACAGTTGCATTCATTTGGAAAAGCGATCATGTCAGCTTTTCAATTATTCTGTTTTTTTAGAAAGCTGCCATAAATCCGTTTTTATTGCTATAATCTTGCTTGTAGACTCACAGGTGCGTATTTTGTATCCAGGTGTATTTTTACTGAGCCCAGTGCGACTGCATTCAGCATTATGTCATGTTCTTGACTTGATTATTTTTCTATAGCCAGGCTGGTGAACAGGCGACTCAAAGATTGCAAGGACAACCCACTGATATAGAGTTTATGCGATGCTAAACAATGGGAGCCACACACTCGTACTGTGTATAAAAAATAATCACCGACTTGCCAGTTTGAGTACTCTGGCAAGGTGCTTTCGGGTCTGGTTTTATTTTGGCTTTGGAAATTATATTTTTCATTGCTACCCGGTTCGGCCTCATTATCTCTGTGCTGCGCTGATGAGTCCAAAAAGGACGAAACGGTTCTGTCCGCCGATTGAGTAATTATGTATATAATAACACATGGTACGGAGGGCATTATGGCTGATTTATGCCCTAGTGCGTAGCCCGAGGTCGTGCACCGTAGCCCAAGGGCCTTAGGCCCGCAGGCTAAGGTGCACGACTGAGGGCTACGCACTAGGGCATACAATCAGCCATAATGCACGACGCACCATGTGTTTATTATAGTTCCTACATGCCACGTGCCTAGTTGTAGACAAATAAGGTAAACATGGTCAAGGGAGGAAAAATTCCGCTGGACCAAAAAATTAATAAAAATAAAAATAAATAAATTTGTACCCCAAAAAAATTCAAGGGAGGAGGAAGGTTCCAATCAGCTGTCATATGAATGAAGGGTCGAACAAGATCGGAAGGAGCTTTCTCCGTGGAATGATAGAACGTTTTGTGTCAGATTTACTTGCAGTTCCAGGAATATGCCTTTGCATTTTGGTTTAAGTGTTGCCTATTGGGCGCTACGGAAGTTAGCTGATTCGCTGCTGCTTTGGAGTTAACGTGCGACGCAAACATCCTTGACCATGTGGCACTAGTAATTAGACTAGGTTTGAGAGTACATTGAAAGGGTTCTTTTCCGGAACAATGATACTTTTTCACATACATCTGAGATGTGTTCGCATTGCTTTCAGTTTACTTGAGGTCCATATGTACACTCGACATGTAGCTAGGTACATTTGAAGTACATGTACATGTAGATGTAACTGGACACCATCCGCACCATGTCTCCCTAACTAACGTATCACTTGAAATGTCACAATAATGTCGCGCTTTTACCACCTTTGCGCGCTATGCCACCTGCTTTTTCGCGCTTCACTCACTTTGCGCTCTTTTTTAGCCACCTGCCTGGGTATACATTTGGATCCAGATGATTTACAGGTTATCAGTTGTGTGAGGATTGCCTTAGCTTTGCTATGTGCATGAAACGCAGCGTTACAACAATGACCTAGTCGGCTGTCTCTGTTCTCTTCTGCCTTTGTGTAGATGTAACTGTATATTTTGTAGGAGTTCGAAATACAATCTGATCTATTCCAGATAGGTAACTTTGTGATGCATGTTCACCTGTCGACTTGTTCGTCTCAATTGGCTTGAATTTAGTAATGCATAGTAATGACATTCTGTGTGCTATTGTCACGTTGTTATAAATTACTTCTCCTATGTCGACTTTGCTAGTAAAATATAATTGTTTTGGACTTTGCACGTAAGTAGTTTCGTTTTGGGTGGTGTGTGCGAGTGCATGTGGTGTCCTTAGGAATGGTCCCATGTGTTCTATGTGCGCTGGAGTACTGCATATGTATGTACCAGGTCACTGCCCAAAAAGGCATTGGTGCATATTTTTCAGTGCACCAGCGTACGTAGTACGCCTGGGGTCATTCCTAATGGGCATGGGTACGCCGTACCCGTGCATTATGGTCTGATAATGCCCAGGTACGGTGGTGCTCTGATTGGCCAAATGCTAGGAACGACCTGACAACGGGCACCTGACATGTATGAAAATAATAATATTAGAGTCATAAACGGTTCCGCTGGGTCACGTGGCGTACCTTGCGCCCGTAAGTGGCTCCCCTGACACACCAACATGACATTAGTGCATAGACATACCTTCTTTAGATGTATGCAATGAAAGCAGCAAGCAGTATTTCCTTACCTCTACGTAGCCCAACTGTGACATTGATCTCAGCATAGGCATTATGCCAGGCTGTGTATGTGTCGATACCGCCTGGGGAGCTGGAACTTCCGTTAGCGTTGTCCGTGGCACACAGAGTGAGAGTGATGTTCAGACTGGATGGTATCACAGCTGCCAAACCAGACGTGTTCGCAGTCAAAACAAACTCCATGCCGTGGCGCCTGCGTACGCGGAACACCGCAGCAAGACTTGCGTTGGAAGCACGACACACGGAGAACACTGTCAGGTCACTCGCTGGCTGAGATACTGTGACGAACAACGTTGACACATTAACATCTCCCCCGTCACCGCCGTTAATCTGCAGTATGGCAGACCTGTTTTTGATGTTTATGTCCGGTACATTTCGTAGCAGTACATTCACCTTGAAGACACACACTTTGTAGGACACCATCACGTTTTGGATCGTGTTGGGTGTCAGAAATTTACTCGCATCCGCCACAGCCGCCACCAAATGCCCGGGGTTGGATGTAAATTGCACGTAGCCTGAAATACTAAACTTCAGCTCATCAATCTTAGACGGATAATCGTGTACTGTCCAGATGGATCTAAGCGCTGTTAGTGCAGTTGGCAGAGTCAGTAGCAAGGTTCCTGCTGGTGCGTGTTCAGCCAGGTAAACGTTGTTCTCTACTGGGTTGCATTGATCTGAAACAGAACAAAAGGAAGAAGATTCGTCGCTATTGCTGTACATGTCACATGATGTGTAAGGTTTGATATCTGTACTTAAAAAGGAGGTAATAATTTGTTGGCAAAATGTTATCAAAACATAGAATTGTATAAATCATGTTGAAGCCTTCTTCAGTAAAAATTCAGAGAGACTTTTGGTGGGTTGCAGCCAATGGCTCTAAGCAAGAAAAATAATGTACCTCAACTATGAAAGGGCTCCGTTCGTGTTCTTTCTTTGCACCAAGAGGATTCAATTTTTCGCGATATGGCCAAGTGATGGTGTCAGTTTTGTAGCGATAACACGTACTTTGTCTCATAATTTTGAATGGTCTCTGCTGAAATGCCAGATAGATGCACCATAGTTCGGTTGATAGAGCATCGCTTGGCTCAAGCGATGGTCCTTGTATCGAGTCCTGGTGGTGACAGTCGATTTTTTCTTCAGTTTTTTTTCCATTTCCATTCCCTCAACTAGGGAATAATTATTATCTCACAATAGTCATATTTAAGTCCGTGTGCAGTGCATTCTTACCCAAGCATACAGGAGAGGGTGCATCGTATCGTCCGTTGCTCTGGCACGTCAGGTAGGGACTCCTGTCGGGCAGACGTGGCGAGGCGCAGTGAAACACCACTCTTTGTCCCGGTGTCACGGGACTGCTGCCTCCGCTCTGCGTAGAAATTCTGGGACACGTCACTGAAGGAACATACAGAACGGTCCTCAATCTGTACAGTAAAATATTCTTCAAGACATTTTAGAGCCTAAAGTTGCGTTCACAGGACATGAAATTCACACTCACAGTTACAAACATTGCAAAGCTAACACAGCGCTAATACTTAGTTTTCAGATAAGATTTCAAAACTTCAGCTTGAGAAAACACGACTCAAGTAAACGTGAAGAAAGTTGTGGAATATTCCCGCGGACAGGACGATTTGTGCTATTTCTCGCCTTGTCCGGCACCATGCATTTATTAGTCCGAAGGAACACTGGATATCGTGTTTTTTTTATCTATGACGTGCCGGTAGCATGGATCATTAGAGTTCTCACCTTGCACGCCCAGAGACGTGCGTGTGCACCCAGCCACGACTAGCCAGATCAGGAGAAAACCAGCGAATGTCATGTTGCTGAACATGCACCACACTCCGCCAGCCAGTACTATGTTTCCTCGTGGAGGTTCACCAACGCTCAGAGACTTAGCAGCCCACTCACGCGTTCAGCAGCATACCTGGTATGATCAGACTGGATTGAGACACAATACAGTTTGCTCAGGGTAGCGATTCTGAAACAGTGAAATGTTTCCAAGACGCGTAAAGCTTCATAAAGGGAAATTCAATTAGGTTTCCAGCAAAGGTATAGCGCTTGACGGCCATACTGATCGATACTTGTGTTCCAGTAGCGGGTCGTGTAGGAAACAGACAGAGCCAGTAACATTATGATCTCTCATCACTCGGCCCGCGCAGCTCCATCCATGGTGAATTTACGTTACATGTGCAGTGGTGGCAATTGAAATCCAGGCTAATCCGTTCAATATACACTGTAAGCCTGCGACCCGATTGCGACCTCCACCTGGACGGAAGACCAGGTGTATGGCCATCCACATTGCAAGAAAAGATCAGTCCGGAGTTACCATTTCACTTGCCACAGCTCCACCTTTTGATCATAGACCCCGCAGACCCCGCACGTACATACTAAAGGAAAGTGTCACTTGCCTCTCGATGAGATGGCTCAAATCCGTCACTTGATGACATTCTCTCATGGCTTTGGTGCACATTTTCTGCAGATACTGGTCGGAAACTCTTCCCGTGTTCCGATATCATTCCGGTTGCAACGCCTTCAGTCAGGACGTGTTCCTGGAAGCAACATGTAGACTCTCACGCACAATGGAACACAGAGCGGAGATGATGACGTAGTAATCTCTCTCTCTCTCTCTTTCTCTCTATCTCACTCCAATCCGAGCGTTCTAAAGCCTGCGTGTGTGTGTGTGTGTGTGTGTGTGTGTCCACCATCCCCGGCGTCATCAGGCTGCGTGCTCCTTCTTCCTCTCTGATGCCTCTCCGCCCCCCCCCCAACCCCCCCCCGTGCCCCTGTGGCAGTGGCTCTACAGTCCATTTCAAAACTATAGACGCGTACCTAGGCAGAAACCGTTATGCCAGCATCTATACCACATAAAATCTGTGATCACTTTGTGCATTTTTTTTCAAAATTGGGCGTCTGTTATCACATGTGTGTGTAGACGTGTGTGTGTGTGCTATGGTCTGTGTACATGTATATCCAGTCTGGGTACGTTGTTGTGCGTCTATGTGTATGGTGTGGGTGGGTGTAAATGGAGTCAACCATCAAACTCTAAAATAATATGTACGAATCACGGGGGCTCATTTCAATGGTTGTGCTATGGATTCATCTTTCGGAGATTCCTTCCAAATCTCTCTCTTCTGTTCCCGGTAACGTCCGTAACGGACCTTTGTCTGGCAGCAAGTAGAACAAAATACAATGTGTGTGTGTGTTTCTGTGTGAGTTTGCCTGACCCAATGATCGTAGCACGGCTTCCTGCATACCCCTGCATACATGTACCACCAATCAACTTCACGACACCATTCTGGTTGGCCTCAACGGCATAAACCAAAGGAGACATCCAAATTCCAGGATATACAAGGAGAGTTAGTACAAATCGTGGGAAAGCGGAGACGAGCTGTGCATATTCAGATGTCCTTTAGGGTGAGTATACATGTATGTTGGTGTTCGCAGAATTGGGAAATTGAGAAGTTCATGATTGGAGAGCTTGCAGTAAGTCAGATTTGCGAACTAGGCTAGTTACTCATTGTTCTCTGCTAGTTCAGTGACACGTGTAGCTTACTTTTTGAGACGTGTAACCGTTGGGATTCAATGAATTCAATGAATTGAAGCGCTTAAAGTACGCAAGTGGCAATATCTGAATTCGTAAAGGTACTAGGCCATATTCCTCATTTGAGGGTGTTGAAATGGGAAATATGGGAAACAGTCTGACGAAAAATTGACAATTGAAAGCTGTTGATCATCGCTTAGAATATCATCATCGATATCGCAATTTATAGAAGAAAAAGGACCAAGGAACTACAAGTTACGCTATAATGTCCTGCACACCTGATATCGTAATTATGCTATGATTATGCTCTGTGCCTAGGACTGTGCATCAGGGCCGGGAATGAAGACTTACTGAGTAAAACGCCAGTGTCCTAGAGCGAGACATTCTAAGAATACCTAGATCAAGGTAATGCAACAGTATTGGCAGTAAAGCGCAGTCCGATTATTCTTATGTGCACACTATGCCCGCTACAGTAAAGTGCAGATCTTTCTTGGAAAGACGGGTGTATCGTAGACCAATGGATTGCACAAATAACAGGAAAAGAAACATCCACGTGAGAGGCAGATAGAGGGAGATCACACGCTGGACGAAATCCATTCCCTCTTGGCGGGAATGGACTCCGCGATGGTCTCCTCCACACCCTGGGCAGTACCTTGGTTCCACGTAGTCTCATGTACCTCGACAGCAGCAACAGGTTGGTTCTCCTCGAACACTGTCACCTTGCCCTTAACGGGAACGTCATCAAACGATAAGAGCGTGTAGATGATCTGATGATCGTCACTTGAGATTGGAGTGTTCTCTGGTGGTAGAGCACCAACTATAACGGTGTCACCTGGGGAGCAGGTGGTCTGGGATGTTGGTTCTGTATAGGTTGAGGCTCTGCTACGTGCTGGGGCTATGGAAGCGTACACTGTACTGCTGCTGTCTGTGGCTACAGGCCTGTCTGTTGAGCGGCTACTGGTGATGTCTTGCGTTGTGGCAGCAGATGTCGTTTGTGCTTCCGCTGTGCTGGTTTTCGGACGTTGGGAGTCGCGCTTCGAGAGGCTGCTGCGGAAGGAGTTGCGGAACTTGCCAATCCTGCTGTCGCCCATGTCCACCAATCGCCGTATTGTGACCAGTGGATAAGAACCAGACGCGAAGGTATCCCGAGTGGATCTACGCCTGGAGCTGCTGCTGAAGCTCTCCGTCCACTCCTTGCGCACATCCTTGGACTGTATTGTGTGTAAAAATATGAACAGACCCTGGAGAGTGTTGAACAGCGCGAATATGTACTGGACGGCGATGTGATCAGTGAGCACAGTCAACATGCCGAACAGCCAGGTCAATCCCAGCATCAGCGACAACGATACGCTGATGCGCAGCAAATAGACCTTCCCCGAGGTATCCTTCTTCCGGCTCGCCGTCTTGACGTTCTTGGACCGGTGATGCAATGATCTGATGACCGTGATCAAGATGATCATGTTGTAGAGAAGTGTGATGCACATGGGTGCAAAGAATGCAGCATAGAAGACCGCATTGTCAGCAATCCAGCAGCTGCAAAGTTAAAACAGAAAAAGGATTGCATGGCCAAAGGCCCAATATAACACTCGTTAAAATCTGATAAGTGATAACATCGAAGTGCATATTTCGAAGCTTGCTATGGAAATGGGTATACGGCATTATTGTCCAGCGTTCGATAGCGATTCGCTGTTACTTTGGAACGCACCTTCATGGATGTTTGTTGTCTATCCCGATTATTATCACTGTGCAATCGGAAATGCATCAGAGTTGATCATCTTGGCACAAAAGAATTCTAGTACTTCGAAGTACAATAAGGCGAAAGCATGAAAATTCGCGAAGGGAAACATCTTACTGATGTTCATTTCCGTAAGCTTCCATCTGAGTGGACGCAGCAGTGACAACCACTATCAGGAGAGGTAGACCTGCGGCAAAACAAAGCACAGCACAAATGAACAGAGCTCCGTACCAGTATGTATATATGCAAAAATGTAACTGCGGTGGAGACTACTATTTTCTGTGTAAGCATTTCAACCCATTGCGGAATCCAGCCGTGACATTCGGCATCTTTGCCACATAACACATTCTTGGCACACGACTCAAGCAGTCTGCAGAAAATGTGATTGATGATGGAGTGAGCGGACACGTTTTTCACCGTGTCTACATGAAGCCGGAGGTGGAAGTCAGTGATCTCCACAGATCCTTTCCCTATCAAATCCATCAGAGCATTGAAATAACTAGTTACCGATGCCATTAAGAACGCCTCAATTTCAAGACCTATGTATTTGTGTATCGCTGCCTGAATGGCCTTGCTTGCTCTCTCCTACAAGACCCCTTTACTCTTCATGCTCACGGTGCTCACACTGCTGCCATTACCCGTGGTCAGGTGTCTGCCGCACTTGTTTACCCCTGCTAGCACACGCTATGGTTTCAGTGCAATTTCTTACGTAGGCGCTGACCAGTGGAATGCACTGCCACCTGCTTAGTTACCGCCGTTCTAATTCACCTGCTGTATTTCGCTAATCCATCAAGACGTTCTTAGGGTTCCCTGTGAGAAGGCGATGACGCCTGTTGGGAATTCCCTAGTAAAATAAGAATAAAAAAAATTAAATAAATTAAAAGATACGATCATTTTGGTAGTTACCGAATATCAGGAGCAACATATAATTTAGCAGGTTGCCGATGGACAGTCCCCCAAAGACCGTCACCAGCTGAGTGTAGAGAAGAGTGGCATCGGCTGACATCCACATGAACGCCATCAGCAACAGATAGTGCATGAGGAAGGCTATCGTCTGACACAGTCCTCGATTCCAGGCAGCCGGCTCCACCGCCGATACGAACAGGAGCAGAACTAAGAATAGGGTGGTGCAAAGACCGATCATCAACTTCTGGTGACTGTGGGAGCGCTGTTTTCTGCACACAGAAGCAGTAAAGAATAGAGATGTCATAGACCTGCGGCGATTCGCCTGTCACTCGAGTCAAAGGGCATGCAGAATTATCTGATCTGCAAAATGTTAAAACTTAAGTAATAGGAGGACGTCTTGTGGAAAGATGTACTTTCGAAGTAGAAGACACTAATGCCGCCCATAGGCAACTTCTGAGTTCTTTAAAAAGGACGGGTACATTATTTCGATCCCCTCAATACTGCCCGATACGTAACGTGCAAATCCCGCTCACTTACTTTAGAACGGAGATGATGATGATCGTGGCCAGCAAGCCACACATAGATAACGCACAGCCAATATAGGAAACAACGGAGATCCCAACTTGCGCGGCGCTTTTGGGGCCCGATGGTTGAGCCACTGAACTGGTGCGGGACTGGAAGGAGTCACAACGACGCAATAACAGGCACACGGTCATAAAGGTGCACTGTAAAAGAGATCAGCTCATGGCTGCCACAAATTCAGAAGGTGTAAGGAACATGAAGGCGTCAAGTGCATGCCCAAGCAATGAAATAATTATTCTTTTATCTTACAAGGTGCTTTTTAGAACGAATTTTGGGCACACCTGCATTTTTCAGTTAACAATATAATATATGAAGTTGCAGCAAGAGTCAAATTTGTGATAAAAAAAATAACACAGAGATTGCTGTGCAGACAGTATATATTTAGGATGGTTTATGTGCGTGTGTGTGTGTGTGTGTGCATGTGAATGCATGCGTGTGTGTTGGCGGGTGTGTATGAGTGTGTGTGCGTGCGTGTGTGTGTGTCCTAGTGTCTGTATGTGCGACCTGCAGCCGGTCCATTTCTATTATTATTAGTTATTATTTATTGCAACATCTCAAGACTCGGCGGAAACACCGGCAAATGTTACGAGAGTGGGTGATTGCCAACCACGGCGATAAATAGAAATAAGGGGAGGGAAAAAGAAAGAGTAGCAAAACGAACAGCAACAACAACTCCGTAATGAAAGATAATGTCAAATAAAAACAGTGAAAAACACAGAGACGCAAAGGACATGTGGATAATGAGCTATGCATGTCGTAGTAAATAAGGGGTGGGACGGATCTTAAACAGGCGGAGTGAGGTCAGGTCCTTAACTTCTCTGGGTAGAGTGAGCCAAACAGAATAAGCAATAAAGAGAGGGGAGCGCAAAAGAGTGGATGAGTTACACTTAGGGAGTAAGAGCGAGTTTCTAGTTCTTAGAGAAGAGAACCAATTAAAACACGTGAGATGAGGTGGGCACAACTCAAGCTTAATAGAATGGACAAGAGAAGTCAGGTGTGCACTGCGTTCATGTGATAACGTGGTTGTGTGAGCGATTTTATAAAGGGCGGATGATGAGAGCATGCGGGGTTGACGGAGGACAAGCATTACCTTCCACCAATTCTCACAGATGTGCAGGTCTCATTGATGCCGGCCGTGAATTACATGTACTGTATAGGCTTGATTTCATGTTCATGTGGCGCTAGAGACCGCTGTTCACAGAAAGCATGTAATTACACAGTATGTGAACTTTGGGGCTGTGTGTTTGGGGGGGGGGGGGGGGGCGGGAGGAAGGCCAATTATTGGTTTTGTACTCACCACTAAGAGCGCGAAACTTGTCAAATGATTGCACTGGCAGACAGCTCGGCCTTCACTGCGCGTCAAATTACATCCCTCCGTACTCCACCTGCCGAAGGCTGAACAATAACCACACAAACGCCTGTATGCACATTCTGACTGCATTTTTTTGGGCGCTTTATACCACCTCAACAAAGACGATTCATGATTCCAAATTTCGCATCATAGCATCACTGTCGCTGGGTTGTTGCGCGTACACAAAATTGCTTACGGAGGAAAACTGAATTCTGATGCTGGGATAAGCAATTTAGAAATCAGCGGTAGGTCATACCTGTCTAGAGAATGGCTTGGGAAAGGTGTGCACGTACATGTACTCCGATGCGAATCACTACAGTCCGTTCATCGGAAACAGTCCTTCTGGCTTTTGAAAGTCCTATTTGGGCCGAATGGAGGATCAGAACCCACTTTAAATCTCACAAATCTGGGTTTTCGGACCTGCTCTTCCATACATTTTGCCATGGCATACCTGTCCTAATTTTGCAAAACCTGGCTGAATTTATCTTTCCCTGTTCTTCGACTTTTCTGGCCTCATATGTGGGTCACACAATGCAGGATGTACTGCTGTTTTCATGATATCTACAACTATGTGCACTAGTGTCCAATGAATGTGACTGTAACACTTTGCCGGAGCACTGATCTTATACAATTTGATTCATTTGAGTGTCGAAACGTTCTATTGACACAGTTAGGGTTTTCTTGGGAATGCTCAAATAAAATAATACACTACAAATACAAAATGAATACAAGTGGGCATACAGTATCACGGAAATATCGCTCCATATACTTTAAACATTCTATATACGAATGATTCACTGCTACGTTTGTGCTTGTTTTCTTTATGTCTCCTATTATATATCAACTGCTTCTCTTACCATGTCCAGCATAAGCGAACGCGTGGACTGTGTTTGTGCATGGGTGGCTTGCACTTGCACTGTTGACGCCGCCGCGGGAATGCATTATAATAATAATAATAAAAGATAATACAGTAAAAACCCGGAGTAAGCGACCTCTCGTTTTAGGGACCACCTGCTCTTAACGACCGTTTTCCATGCACGGACCGTTCTACACAGACACTGTGGACCCTGGTTCTAAAGACCACCTGGCTTTAACGACATCTTTTCCTTGCATCGTGGGGTGGTCGCTTAAACCAGGTTTTACCGTACGCGCTTACTTGTTGATCGATCCCAGTAGACACATTTAAACCGTACTCCACTGCTGTCCGTGCCAGGCGGGATTGGCTGGGGTAAGTCAGTCTATTACACACAAAATCAGTGTCAAAAGATGTTGACCAAATTGATTCCCCGGTTTCGCGCACTAAACCTAAATTTTAACGGATTGGTACAAGCTATTCGCTCCCATGAAATTCGGCTTTTAGCCCGTGTGTACTTGCGGATTCAAATAAAAAATATACATAATACATACGGTTTGCCCTTTTGCGTGAAACGCAGACTCACAACAAATAACTCGGTCCATTCTCCCTACACTAGACACCAGAGCTATAAATAAGTCCTTGGTTAGAAATACATATTCTCAATTTGTGAGGATCGCACAAAAATTGTCACATCATCCAGTTAGCATCCCAACACGCTCGACCTTGGTCAATATCATTATAACCTTAGAAAAGCACGATGCGCCTACCTGGGTAGTTACAGTGCAGCCAGATTGATAGGGTAAACGATGGTACATGTATTATTATGTGTATCAACACCTTGCACAGGAATTATTATTATTATTATTATTATTCTCGTATCCGCCCCGAATGGGACTCACGACGGCAGAATTAACTGTGAGCATGTGTGTGTGAGAGGAATGAGATGCAATTTTCCCAGAGCATGGTCACCGCGGAAGACCAAACTAAAACAAGGTTAGCTTACGTTGTTGTACGTGGAAACATTGAACGCGATCACGACCGGGTCGCTTAAATTGCTCAAACTGGATTCCCCTGCTTGTGCTGAAATGACCGAGGAGAATACCTGCGTGGAACTGGACAGGCTTTTGTCCTGGAAGAGACTGTCTGTGCGATACAGGATGAATTGGGCTTTTGGGTTAGCACATCCTGAACTTGTGTTAGGTAGGGTCTCCTTAGCTTTCTCCAAGGCTGCGGGTGGGATGTCAAACGCCAAAGCTCCTTGGCTCTCTGGAGAAATATGAATACGAATGGATGGTGAAAAAGGAGAAGGACAACATGTTACGAGTTATGACTAACTGTCCACCAATGTAACCAGATCTTATACAGTCAGCGAGTGGGACAAGATGGCACAAAATTGACAAGGAGTACTGACACATTCGGCGACCTGACACCTAGCTCCAACACTACTCAAAGGCGAAAACCAACAACCTTCCAACTTGGAATGCACAGGTTCGGAAAGGTCCAAGAGTGAAAGGAAAGCGCAACAAGGTCCTTCTCCTCTTGAACCATTCAGAACCTGAGCGTTCCAAGTTGGAAGGTTGTTGTTTTGCGCCTTGGAGAAGTGTTCGAGCTAGGTGTCAGGTCGCAGAATGTCTCAGTACTCCTTGCCAGTTTTGTGCCATCCTCTTGATCAGTCATCCCTTGTTGGTTTATTTATTTTCCCTGCTTGGCAGTACTTGCCTTTCGCTAATACATCAAGATCTCCGACGGAGAAGTTGCTAGATGGGAGCGACCCATCCATTTGAAATCCCTGTGTCGCTGCAAGGTTGCTTGGACAGCTGACGGCAAGTCCGATGTTCTCCTCATCTAGCAGAAATGGCTTATCTTCCTGTACATCCAGTATTTTGACCAGTTTCTCCACTGATTGTATAATCCTGGTTCAGTCAACAACAATGAAACCACGTTCAGCCAGCATCTTACAATGCATGAACACAAAATGAAGCCACGTTCAGACAGCGTCGTATGCAGCATGAATAAACACAATGAAACCACGTTCAGACAGCGTCGCATGAACATGTTCTTCGGAGTTCATTCGGAACAGGTGCCATTATTGAATTTCGAGATATCATTCATTGAGAATATGAAGTACATTTGCGATGTTCACCAAAAAACAGTCTGTCATCTTGATGTGCAAAGCGCAAGGCCCGTGCAAGTGCAACGCGTCAATTGTTCACATGAATTCGGATTTCTTCTAGCTCAGCGGGACCAGTACATGCACAATAGACAACCTGCAGTTTATCTCTTTTGGTTGGTTAGGTTCCGCTACTAGTTACAGTAAAACCTTGTTTAAGCGGCCACTCAACGGAGGAAGGAAAGGCGATCGTTAAAATCAGGTGTTCTTTAGAACCAGGTCCCACTGTGTCTGTGTAGACCTGTTCGTGCATGGACAAACGGTCGTTAAGAGCAGGTGGTCGCTATAACGAGAGGTCGCTTACACCAGGTTTTACTGTGCTTACTCTGCTGCAGGTTCGGACTGTATGACGTCAGCTGGAACGTTAAGAATGTTATCAACGGTCACTAGTACCGTACTTGCAACCTGCAGCAAAAAAGTAGAATTGTTACGCACTCACAGCATTAAAAAAAATGAACATGGATGCAGTGAATCGGATTTTCGGTCTTTGACCACTTGCTGGTGAGCTGATCTACTCACCTCCCACCGCTATAGGAGCTGCATCTGCGCCTTGATCCTTAAAGGATGGTGGCGTTCCTACGGATCGGAAAACTCGGTTTCCAGCCGAGTCTCACGCAAACCGTGAAAAATGAATTTTACAGCATTGAAACTCGAAAACAAGAAGAAGAGAAGACCCCGACGGCATCTGAATTCTGTTAGTGACGCAATCATGGGTAAAACGTGCCGAAATACAAACCTATCATGCCCCGTTCAACATAGATTTCAAATACATGTACACCTAGTTTCCATTGCAAGATGCCTAGATGCTTTGCCTTCTGATAGGTGAAATCCCTGTATAGTAGGAACAGTCATTACGTTTTCCTTGTCTTGTCTGCTTAAATTCAGTGTTTCGCCATCGGCTGCATCGCTGAGCCCCAACAGGATCGTTGCCGCGAATCCGACGTCATCCTTTGATGAGAACTCATCCCTTGCTGTCAAGTTAGCTAGCTCAGTCGATGTCGTGACAAGCACGTCTGGTTCGGTGATATTGATCTCCTGTGTTGAAGAAACAATTGGACATACATGTATGAATACGCGGCCACTAAGGCAACGGCAGTACCGATTTGGATGAGTATAAATTATTCGTCCTTGGGAAATCGCCAGGGACGAGTATACTCGTCCTTGGGCTTCAACGGGTTAACATTAAATCCAACATGAATTCATTCTGTCTCACAAGGTTGAGCGAAATCATGACACACCGGAGTAAATGAGGCTGTAGAGTTTTGGATTGTTCGTACATTCACCGAATCTAAGTAAATGTACGAATTTTTAGAAAGTTTCAAACAAGTTTTCGTACAACACTCATCAGGAATCGTCGTTGTACTAAGGACGCTGAAAAAATTTGAACGATTATAGAAAACCTAAGTTAGAGAAATAACACAAAGAACAACAGCAGTGAAATTTACAAGTTTGAATTTAGAGAATAAAGAGAATATGAAAATGAAAAAATGTCAGTGCTTTCTAGGTTCGGCCTGGTCCCATAGCGCAGATGGTCAGGGTATTGCTCATGACAAGCAAACTGCCGGGATCGAGTCCTGTTGCGTCTGGCATTTCTTATTCTTTTTCAGGCAGTTCACTACCTTCGAAAAAAAAATATGAATAAACATTTCTTGAGGATTTCACACAGACGGAGGGTGCGTAGCAAACCTGCCTTTTAACATAGTACATTTTATCCAGTGTGCGGCGCGAAAATGATATCTAGAATTCATTCAGGATAAAGTTAACCAAAATGGTCAGAAACTTGAACAATACGCATGCCTACCTGCGAAAGTTCTTGAAGCAGTTTGGTAGTTTGAGAAGGGCAGGCAGTTATGTTCGCTTCCTCCCATTCAGCCTTCTCGCCTTTCTTCGAAGGAGCCAAGCAAGTTCTCGTGGCAATTGCCTTGCCTACACCATGTAAACCAACAGGGCACTCCAGTGTGACGGTGTTAGCTCCCGTTGTCTCTGGCCATAGGAAACTGCCACTGCCTGTATTCGACACTAAGGTTTCATTTGGGCAGACATCTATTTAGCACCACATGGACAGATGAACAGGTCACCTGACCATTCGAGCTCATGTCGTAGAAAAGAGATAGGTTTAGAAGGAGTAGTCTATGGGCACCGCACCCGAATTATCGCTCAATAACCACCACTACCCCCGCCTCCACCACAACACCCCCCCCCCCCCCAAACACACCCAACCGCTGCCGCCCCCCTCCCCCCCCCACGTACATGGAGAGATAGATAGAAGATTGTAGTAATTGGGTTGACAGAGCAATGTTCCGCCATACTCAATCTACATTACCCCCCCCCCCCCCAACGCACATACGCACCTCTACCAAGCTGCGCTCCCACATGCATTAGCAGATCTGGGGAGGCGACAAGGCTTTGCGAGACTGGTGCCACGCCAATCCTGCACCGAAATGGACTCCATGTCCCATCTGAATATATCCCTACTAGTACCGTTTACATTCAGCAACGTATCTGTACATATATGATGCACAACGTAACAGTGGATCCCCCCCCCCCCCTCCCCCCACCACCTCTCCCATATCGCTGCAGATCCGAACAAGTTCCAGTATTTCACAAGGCATCGGCACTTGGCCATCATCAGATAATGGCAATGAATCAAAGTAGCATGGTCCAACCTGCTAATACTACCATGTCACGGTGCCCATGCTGCTAGAACCAGAGCATGTATGCATTCAGAGAGTACACCACACCATACCTACCAAAACTGATCACATAAAGTGAGTCTTGCACAGGCTGCAAAAGTTCTGGGTCCTTGTTTCTTTTTATTTGTGCAAATATGTAGGCACGAAATCCTTCGGAAAGTGAGACGTTTCCGCGGGCCAAAGAGTCGTTGAATACTGTGGACACCGAAAACCGAACAGTAGCTGAATACCCGATATTTTGTGGCAGTTCTCTGGAAAAGAGCAGAGGTGAAACAGACCCTGACAACAAATATAGTTTGCGTTGGTGCACCTCATTATCACGTACCTCAATGAAGGTAATACAATGGTGAAAGGAACCCTCAACAGGACGTTTGTCCAGGAAGATCAACAGATAGAGAGAGGGGAAGATAAGGGATTAATGTTGAGAGTTTGGGTGAGTACATTTGTGAGAGAGGTAGAGAAAAGGGAACGAGGAAGGAAACTGAACATAATCATGCTTCATTATCATGTCTTCTCTTGCAAGATGGTGTACTACTCTCGTGTTTTGGTCAACTGGCACAATCATGCCCAGTATCCGTTCCATCACTACATCTCCAACAAAGCTGTGTAGATCGATAACGTCTTGCTTGATTCGACCATGCTGCATCTAGCACATCTTTTTGCTTCTTTTTTCCCCAAATCCACATACATTTGATTCGACAAGCAGTGGTGCAACAAATATTGACATAGGAAGTATCTGCCTGTACAAGTGTGTTTCTATTTCGGGATATCATCTATCCAAAGTAACACTTATAACGTACCCAAGTGTGATATTCGTGATGTTCGGGCGACTGCCTTGAAGCCACGTATACACCTGTGCAAGTGTACAATCAGGCATGACACATACGCGTACATTCATTCACATGTCAGCGCCTGAGCCATAATTATTGTGTCACAATCGTGGTAGAGCCATTGCATCAAGCTGTCGCATTTGACACACGACAAGCTAATCTATTGAACAATTCGAAAGGCACACTATTAGCCATACATCGCTTGTGTATTGTAATCGTCTTCTCCCGCACTCCTCAAAGAGAGACTAAATCATTTTGCATCGAGTGAAGGCGAGTTGCAAGAGAGTTGTCATCAACATTTCTCGTGCAGATATTTCCAAGTCTCTAGAGTATGAGAATTTTTCCTCTTTTTAAATCGTAGGCATGATAAGCGCACATTACGTACTGTTCTCTTCACTTCGTTGGCCAACGAATTATCAGCACTGATGTTAGTTTGGCTGAAGGTCACAGACAATTCGAAGTTAGAAGGCTCTGTTTGGATACAGGAAACGCAGCACATAGAAAATACAGCCAATGCACGTTGTGTTGAGTAACAACAGTACAGGTGTAAAATTTCAGTGGATATTAGTGAGGTTATGCTAAAAACGTGAGACTTATACGTGAACCATAGAGTAATCACGTCGACTGCATGATTGGGCCTGGTTTAGAGTCTCTGGCGTCACGTGGTTTGGATCCAGATTTCTATGTGTAGATGAGGGTCTCTAATATGACCACATCACTGCTTGCGGATCATGGTGATGCAGGTGGCATTCTTTTTCTTCGAATGCGTGTTGGCACATCGATAGTGCCCACTACCTGGATTAATTTCATCCAGGACGATTGATTAGCATCCTCGGCCACCGATGGAGCAACAATATCATTTGTTTCATCAACCTGTCCAGCACAACGACTCCTTGGTGTAAGCGTAGGAATTGAACAAACAATTGCACATTGCTTGCCACCTACATTATCATTGGAATAAAGCAAAACAGAATGCCAGTGACTGTGGCCTGGAATTGTCAACAATCATTGAAATGAGGACGAGTGCAATTTTTGCATGCCAACCTTTATGACCCAGGGCAATTTGGTGCGTCTAGGTGGCCATGAAGTCGATACCCTAGGTCGGCTTAGCTCCCTAAACCTCACCACCACTGCCACGATTCAGGTTGTGCATGCTTCCACTAGCTGCATCTCATGTTTGGCATTTAAGTGGTCTTTGTAAAAATAAAAATATTTTTTTAATGACAGTGGGTGGACTTACCAAATACTGTAAGGTTCACATCAGAGGCAACGGATTGGTTTCCGGTCGCCACTGAACAACGATAGACTCCCCCATTGCAGGTCTGGAGATCATTTATCACCAAGAGAAACACATTGTTAGCTGCAGATTTGGTCCAAAACGGCTTGCAATAGCCTGGATAACTTGCAAGCTTGCTTCCATTTTTAATGCGATGCCAGGTAACGTTGGGCTTGGGCCATCCGCCATAGGAGCATCCGATTTCCACCTTAGTGCCTTCGAAAGCGCTTCGTTTTGCTGGAGGCTTGGGCGAAATGAAAGGTTTCACTGCAGGGAACCAGAGTAGTATTATGATAATTATCAGTACAGATCTCTTCAGTTGAGAGCACATCAACAGCAACGGTTAATGGGGTCCCTGTAACATTTAAACGTATCCGGATTCAATTAAAGGTAACAATTTCACATCCTGTCGGGTACTAGTGAGGCATTCTTCCCCTTCTCGCTTCTAAGCGTTTCGTAACCTGAATTTCTCACACACAGAATTTGTGTTTACCTGACACCAGTGAACATTCTCTAATAGCATAAGCTGCTTTATGTTTCTAAACAACAATACTTATATCAACTGATGCTAATACTAATGTGTGAAATAGATGTACAATTAGATTCTGCAAACGATGGCAAAAGTCTTCTCAATAACTAAACCGTGCAATGATTACCCTATTAACACTCCCAGGTCCTAGGTCGTGTTCTGAAAGGGATACTGTGTGTTACGGAAACTACTGACGGTTTGTCTTGTTTGGCTGCCGGCTGAAGGAAATTTATGTTGGAAGGCTTTACTTCTTTCTGCTAACTGGTCAAGACTTACCTTGGTACAAGCAATAATTGCCAGATTTCTCAGACATCAACGCAACAGTTACCTGCTTACCTAGAACTGCTAATGTTGTAGATGCATTGCTGGCCGGATATTTTTCACCGCTTGCAACACACTTGATGTGTCCATTGTGTACGTCATGCCGCACTGAAATAATCTTCAGCGTTTGAGTTTTATCTGGAGACAAAAATGAATATAATGAATATGAGAAGAAGTAGCGAGATCAGTCTATTCTATCATTATTTCATTTAACATTATACCTCCACTGATGAGCTCAGGAGGAGCAAAACAGCTGTCTGGAGGGGCATTGTCAATATCAACCTTTATACTGGAATTGTCCTCGCTGTGGTGATGGTGATGTGAGTGTAGAGTTTGGATGGGCCAAGAGCGCAATGTGGTGGTGTGGTGTATTGAATTCCATAATGAATATGAACATAACAATTCATTGGAAACATATTGCAGTAATCAGAACACTTGCTGCGGGTCCGTATTGTGTTTTTTTTTTACTGAATACCACAGAACCATCAGATGCTGCACAGCGGGGGCTAAAGCATACCGGTATTGGATGGAAGTGGTGGCGGGGCAAATTTAACTCATCCGACCAAAGGTCTCGGAATCATCGTTACTCCTGTGCGCCAAACGTGTTGACACATTCTTTCCATGCCAAAAGAGCAATGTTCATGCGCTCTCTTCACCTCAGGGGGTATTTAACAATCAGCTTAACTTGCCATAGATTCTATAGTTGATGCCTTGGCGTATGGGGTGGCCATGTCGGTTGAACCATTGTATAGTGAAGGGAAGAGTCGTATTCACGGTGCAGTGTATTATTGCGGAATCACCCTCCATGACGGTCATACTCTGGCTGATGTAAACCTTCGGTGGAACTGCAATGATACGACAATAAATACAGCGGAATACGGCGTATGTCAGTCGAGCCCACAATTTCCAAATCGTCATAATAACTTGAATTGTAACGTGGCTGCGGTGAATCCAAGCCGAGCTAATTGATATGTGTGTACACTATTCATTCTCGCGAACACAATTATCTACACAAGGTCCAGAGGCAGTATGCTTAGGTTCTGCGAAAGTGCTCAATAACTCAATACTCAATACTCTCAATAATCAATACTCGGAGTCACAACGTAATTTGCCCAATGTCTCCATTGTGTGTCTTTATGTACCTACACAAAGTGCTCGTTCAGCGCAAATTCTACCTTGGCACGACGCACAATAAGCACAATTCACCACCTGAGTACATCTCACCGTTCGCGTGTGGCGATGCGTCAGTGCTCTGCGATCCAGGATGACGACTGATGCTGGAAGTCAAGGTTGGTGTAACAGTTAACGGTTCGGTTAGGGTAACGGTTGCAATCGCCTCGGCCGGTTTTTGTGGTGTTGTAGGTATACCAGTACTAGCATACGTTGTAGGTGGCAGCTGTGTTGTTTCGGGCGCGGTAGGAGTTGCTGGTAGCGTGTTTGTTGGTTCGGGCCTAGCTGAGGTTGTGGTTGCTTTGGGTGTCGTTGCTGCCATTTCGGAAGTTGTGAGTGGCAAATGTATTGTTGTGGGCCTTGCAGACGGTGCTTGCCTGGAGGAAATTGGTGGTTGGTTTGTTGTAATTGGCACGTGTCCTTTTGTGGATGTAGCAAACGTTGTGGGTAGTTTAGGTGTTGTTGTTGGACTTGTCATGGTTGTAGGTGGTATGTGTGTTGTTGTAGGCGGAATGTACGTTGTGGGTGGATTGGGTGTTGTTGTTGGACTTGTCATGGTTGAAGGTGGTATGTGTGTTGTTGTAGGCGGAATGTACGTTGTGGGTGGATTGGGTGTTGTTGTTGGACTTGTCATGGTTGAAGGTGGTATGTGTGTTGTTGTAGGCGGAATGTACGTTGTGGGTGGATTGGGTGTTGTTGTTGGACTTGTCATGGTTGTAGGTGGTATGTGTTTTGTTGTAGGCGGAATGTACGTTGTGGGTGGATTGGGTGTTGTTGGTGGACTTGTCATGGTTGTAGGTGGTATGTGTTTTGTTGTAGGCGGAATGTACGTTGTGGGTGGATTGGGTGTTGTTGTTGTTGGACTTGTCATGCTTGAAGGTGGTATGTATGTTGTTGTAGGCAGACTGTACGTTGTGGGGGGATTGGGTGTTGTTGTTGGACTGGTCATGGTTGAAGGTGGTATGTGTGTTGTTGTAGGCGGAATGTACGTTGTGGGTGGATTGGGCGTTGTTGTTGGACTTGTCATGGTTGTAGGTGGTATGTGTGTTGTTGTAGGCGAAATGTACGTTGTGGGTGGATTGGGTGTTGTTGTTGGACTTGTCATGGTTGAAGGTGGTATGTGTTTTGTTGTAGGCGGAATGAACGTTGTGGGTGGATTGGGTGTTGTTGTTGTTGGACTTGTCATGGTTGAAGGTGGTATGTATGTTGTTGTAGGCAGACTGTACGTTGTTGGTGGATTGGGTGTTGTTGTTGGACTTGTCATGGTTGAAGGTGGCATGTGTGTTGTTGTAGGCAGAATGTACGTTGTGGGTGGATTGGGTGTTGTTGTTGGACTGGTCATGGTTGAAGGTGGTTTGTGTGTTGTTGTAGGCAGAATGTTCGTTGTGGGTGGATTGGGTGTTGTTGTTGGACTGGTCATGGTTGAAGGTGGTTTGTGTGTTGTTGTAGGCAGAATGTACGTTGTGGGTGGATTGGGTGTTGTTGTTGGACTGGTCATGGTTGAAGGCGGTTTGTGTGTTGTTGTAGGCAGAATGTACGTTGTGGGTGGATTGGGTGTTGTTGTTGGACTGGTCATGGTTGAAGGTGGCATGTGTGTTGTTGTAGACAGAATGTACGTTGTGGGTGGATTGGGTGTTGTTGTCGGACTTGTCATGGTTGAAGGTGGCATGTGTGTTGTTGTAGGCAGAATGTACGCTGTGGGTGGATTGGGTGTTGTTGTTGGACTGGTCATGGTTGAAGGTGGTTTGTATGGTGTTGTAGGCAGAATGTTCGTTGTGGGTGGATTGGGTGTTGTTGTTGGCCTTGTCATGGTTGAAGGTGGTATGTGTGTTGTTGTCGGTAAAATGTACGTTGTGGGTGGTGTGGGTGTTGTTGTAGACAGAATGTACGTTGTGGGTGGATTGGGTGTTGTAATGGGACTAGCGGAAGTCGTGGGTACGTTGTGTGTTGTGGCTGAAGTTGCTAAAGTTGAGGTTGGCGTTTGCGTTGTTCCAGGCATGGTAAACGTTGTGGTAGTCTTGTGTGTTGTTACGCGCCTAGTAGACATTGTTTCTGGTCTTTGTCTCGTTGTAACTGGGGGCGAATTGAACGTGGTGGGTGCTGTTGCAGTCCACATGGACCCTGTGGATGGTATATGTGTCGTGATGGGCTTTGTAGAAGTTGTGGGTGAACTGGGTGTAGTTGTTCTGGGCATGTTGGGTGTAGTTGTTCTGGGCATAGTGGAAGTTGCGGGTAGTGTTTGCGCTGTTGTGGCCCTTGCAGCAGTCGTGGTTGGCTTCTGGCCTGTTGTCAGCCTGCTTGTAGCTATAGGCGTGTTCTGTGGTATTGTGGGTTTCGTTAAAGGTGTAGGTATATTCTGCGAGGTTGTGGATCTGATAGATGTTGTGGGTGGCTCGTGTGTTGTTTCCGGCGTCGGCAGCATTTTCTGTACTGTGTATGTTGTGGCTGCTGGAGAAGTCGTAGGTGGTGCATGTGTTGTCAACGACTTAGTAGAGGTTGTGGCTGGAGCGTGGGTCGTTGCGAGCCTACTGGACATTGAAAGTGGTATACTGGTTGCGGCGCGCTGAATAGAAGTTGTTGGAGGATTGTGTTTTGTTGTGGGCCAGGTAGAGGTGATGGGCAGTTTTTGTGTCGTTACGCGCCTATTCGATGTTTTGGTGGATTGAGGTGTTGTCCCAGGGCTATCCAAGGGTTCTGTGTACGTCACCTTAATCAGAACGATAGAGATTGTGAGGTTTGTTGCGCCATCATGCCACGCGACATAGCTAGTCCCGTTACTATTCTCGTCACTTTGCGTCACATTGACGATATTATCTACAGCACAGATCCCCAAGGCTATTGTCTGATTCTCAGTCATCAAGTCGTAAAGGCCAGACTGATTTGCAGTGAGCATGTATTCCCAGTTGCCGAGAGTTTCGATATCAAACATTGCCTTCATATTGGGATCAGAGGCGTTGCATATGGTCAAAGTTGAAAGATCAGTTGCCGGCTCGAATACGGTCACAGAGAATGGTGTGACATTGACGTAACCACCATACTGCTCCACTTCCAAGGCAATATTTTGGAAAGGTTGTGCGTTATCGATCCGAGGCGCACTATGCACCAGGATGAGGATGTAATACAAACAGTCGTATCTGTCGCTTTTGCGAGCCTTAACGGTCAACTGGTGTAAATGCGTTGAACTCCGTATGGCTTCAGACGTATTGATTACAATTAGTTCCAGCGCATCTCCTGCATCTTTCCTAGTGGACAACCCTGAGCTGAGATTGGTGTGATTGAAGTCTTTGATATCATCCATGTCACTGGACAAATTCAGAGGGAGCTTGGTTAGAAGAGTACCAACCATTGCGTTGGATGATAGATACACCCGCAGAGGAAATTCCGGATCACATTCAGCTGGAGGCAACATAATGCACCAACACCACAATAACGTTAGAGCGTTATTCTTGTGCTCGAGAGCGACACAGGGTACATGGTTTTTCTCTTCCTTCAAGCATTTCAAACTGACCTAAAATACTAACTTAGTAGTAGTGGCGAGGCTTCAAACTTGTACTCCATTGCATATAACGGTGAGGCCAGTTTTGCCGAAATGTTGTGATAATTAATTGAGAAATGAGTTCGAGTTTGCGCAGTGAATGGGAAGAGAGCAAGCCTGCTCTGAAACCTTTTTCCTAAAGTAGCAATTCATAAAAAACATCACCTATTGAACTTTTCAGTCTCCCAGTTCTAGTCTCAAACAACTTAAGAAGTCTTCATCACTCAATGGTAAAAAAACTTGACACGTGATATTATAGATAATGGCCAAATTGGCCTCAAAGCAATTTCACACTTCCCAATAAGTGCATCATGTCTTCCGTTTGCAGCGCCATCAATACAGTACAGCATACTACAGCCAGCAGCGAGCCCAACACAGAAGAGTAGATCTCAGATGGGTACTCACGTCGGCACAGGACGTCATTTGCTGAACATTTGATGTACGGCGATCTGTCAGGAATGAAGCCATCTACGCAATCGACTTTCACCAGCTCACCATTTCTAGCACAGTGGCTGATAATCGTTGAGTTGAACACGTTCAAATTGCAGATTCCTGCAGAAATAAAGTGGAACATGTGCACCCGTGATTCTTTATGAAGAAACTGGGACTTTCTCTCCTCTACATACTAACGCGAGTATGCCTTAAAAGGGTCAGTAGCTTTTTTGTTGTATGCGGACTTCGTTTCAAGTTCCGTCACGGGTAATCATCGGCTCTCGTCGATCTCTCAAACCAATGTATCAATAACATTGGCGTACCTCATCCCCGTGCGTCGTTAATTTTACTAAACGACACAGTTACACACAACATGGTCTTACCGTTCTCTAGATTGCATTTACAAGTGAATGGTCTGGTGGTGGTATCACAAGCTTCAAGGTCGGAACAGCTGTGCGCTCCTTCCACGCATTCGTTCACATCAGGCTCTATGAATACAACAAAAATGCGTTCAAGGTTCACAACATTCATTCATACAAAACACAACTCAATCCAGGCGATATGTTGATAGGCCTGCACTACTTCAGGGTAAGTCATGGAATTTACATGAAGAGTAGAACTTGTGACTTACGACTACCCCTTGTGGCCAGATAAAGAAGTCTTTAGTGGCAGGTCGTCCTTAGTTAGAGGTTTTGCACCGCAGAACCATTTCGCCTAACACACGCAGAAGCCAGTATGGGGAATAGATTGCCGTCAGCGGCAAAATGTTCAAACAGGTAGTTCGATTTCTAATCTCAAGCCTTGCAGTATAATTATATTATTATTATATTGTTATTATTGTAGCTACGTAGGTTTTCCATAGCTCACTGGATTGATATCTGTTCGTTACAATCAACCGTCCGTTTTCTTTTCTTTCTTTTTTTTCCTATCTCTACTTTACCAAAATATCCTTTAAAATTTTATTCGCAGTGGATCCAATGTTATTAGCCGTTTTGCCTGTTTTGATTTCCACTATAAATATGGCATACAACACCGTATACGTGCCTGGGGACGTGGTCTGTAATACCAGACTGGTCGCTAGTCACGGTGGTCTTTAGATCCAGGATTTACTTTCCATGAGTTGCAAGCCATCAAGCCGAAGTGACCCACGTGGAAGGATGCGTTAATTTTCACTTTTTCTTCCCCGTATTTGCGCCAATGCAGTGAAAATTTGAGTAAGGTGGCACTCACACGACGATAAAACACACGAGAAAGTTTGCACGGCAAGCGAGAAAAGTACGAGCACGCCCACACGACACGTTTACGTGCGCGATTACGATGCGCACACATATCATGGAGTAGTAAATTATCTTTTTCATTACTAATACTCTCTGGTGATATCCTCCGCACGCAGAGTGCATGCGGGTCGTGGATCGCCCCAAGTTTTTTCTTCGTTGTGGGGAAGACGGCTCCTGATGGATGGTGGACATGCTGCTCTGGTGTGTTTTGGGGGACTTCGCTGTACATGTACCTCATGTGGTGAAGGAGAGATCGACTCGACTCCCGTTTTTCTTTGCGTTGACAGAATGGTCAGGACTTCAAGCTCTGGCTGCACAGTGATTTCATCTCGCTCACGCAACAATGACAACACTCACTACTTGACCACGATGCTAGAAAGGCCATCCAAGCATTCTAGAAGTTGTTTGCTTCGGCGGATTCTAGGTATCCCCGGAGTTCTCCACCACTCAGCGATCTGAGTTCTTAACTACAACAAACTGACTGGCGCTCCAGCAGACAAAGCAGTTAAACAGTATGTGCATCAAATATCAAGCATAAACGCTCAGTGATTATACTTTTATCTTTGATAACCCTCTCTGGAGGTTCCGACCAAGCCTTCCTGTTTTTCTGGGTGCAATTACGATTTTCGTGGCACGCTACACAATTACCATGGTACCTTTCCCTTGCCCATCATTTTGGACGTCGTGTAAGCGCAACCTGTGCACGGGTGGAGAAACGTGAACAGTTGTCATAGTAAATACCAGGAAACGACGCATGTTGGTTGGTTGCTTCGTATGTTTTATTTTACTTCGCCAGAATGAACAGGCATTGCTGCCTTGTTGCCTGGACAAGTGGATTGTCGAAGCTCTCACAAAAAGACGAAGAAAAAGAGAAATATTACATGAGAGTGTGAAGCATTCAATCTTACAAGAGAATATTCCATGAGAGTGTGACGCATGCATGAAGAGAGAGGAGAGATAGATAGATCGAGAGAGAGAGAGAGATAGATAGAGAGAGAGAGATAGAGAGAGAGAGAGGAAGAGAGAGGGGAAGAGAGAGAGAGAGAAAGAGGAGAGATCCAGAGAGACTGATTTATTGCCTGACAAGTGAATTGTCCAAGCTCTCACAAAATGACCAACAACAATAGTAACGGCAACAACAACAGCAACAACAACGACGACAGCAACAGCAACAACAGACCACAACAACAGCAACGCCAACAACACAGCAGCATCAACAACAACAGCAACAACAATAGAGAGAGAGAGAGATAGAGAGAGAGGGGCGGCTTTACTACCTGGACAAGGGAATTGAACAAGCTGTCACAAAATGGCCAACATCAGCAACAACAACAACAACAACAAAAACAATAACAACAACAACAACAACAACAACAACAACAACAACAACAACAACAACAACAACAACAACAACAACAACAGCAACAGCAGCAGCAGCAACAACAACAACAACAACAACAACAACAACAACAACAACAACAACAACAACAACAACAACAACAACAACAACAACAACAACAACAACAACAACAACAACAACAACAACAACAACAACAACAACAACAACAACAACAACAACAACAACAACAACAACAACAACAACAACAACAACAACCAACAACAACAACAACAACAACAACAACAACAACAACAACAACAACAACAACAACAACAACAACAACAACAACAACAACAACAACAACAACAACAACAACAACAACAACAACAACAACAACAACAACAACAACAACAACAACAACAACAACAACAACAACAACAACAACAACAACAACAACAACAACAACAACAACAACAACAACAACAACAACAACAACAACAACAACAACAACAACAACAACAACAACAACAACAACAACAACAACAACAACAACAACAACAACAACAACAACAACAACAACAACAACAACAACAACAACAACAACAACAACAACAACATCAACATCAACATCAACAACAACAACAACAACAACAACAACAACAACAACAACAACAACAACAACAACAACAACAACAACAACAACAACAACAACAACAACAACAACAACAACAACAACAACAACAACAACAACAACAACAACAACAACAACAACAACAACAACAACAACAACAACAACAACAACAACAACAACAACAACAACAACAACAACAACAGAGAGAGAGAGAGAGAGAGAGAGAGAGAGAGAGAGAGAGAGAGAGAGAGAGAGAGAGAGAGAGAGAGAGAGAGAGAGAGAGAGAGAGAGAGGGAGAGAGAGAGAAAGAGAGAGAGAGAGAGAGAGAGTGTGTAAGAGACATGTTGAGAAATCCAATGTAAGCCTGCGTCTTCGTACTGTGATACGAATTCTGATTTTAGCTTCTTCTTTTTTCATAGGCTAACTGATGGCACACAGACACACTCGCACTAACCGATTACAGTCTGTGGAGGCGATCCTTCACCACTAGCACCACTTCCTGCATTAGAAAGCACAACAATAATAATAAAGGCATGCTAACATTCAGTGCGCAATTACAGCAGATATAAACAGAAGCTATCCGAGAACCATCGCTTCCCACGCCCAAATAAATTATACCATTTTTCGCGACTTATCGATAGTAAAGATCAGAATACGTACTTGAGTGCGAAGTTCTAAAGTGAAAGCTACGTAGCGTTACGGAACGGTGGCCATGTAACCCCATGCAAGTCTACATTGCTACACTATGCAGAACATCAATGGGTGACCATGTTGCAAAGGGAACGTTTACACGAATTTTTTAAGTTTACACAGGATAATACGACATAGTGGTAGCGCCTTCGGAGATAATAACGCAAGCACGTCTGATGAGGGGTGAATTCTCCGAAGGGTTGTGTATTCAGCATCTAGTGGCACTTTGACATTTCCCGTTTGCTTCTTTTCCTCAAACCAGTGAATATGTTATGACTTGGGGCTCCCCGCGTGCTAGTTTGTACGTGAAGTGTGTGGGTTACAGTGAGGGCTGCGTCCCACCCGCCTGTGTGGATTCACAGGAAGTGTGCGTTACAATGTCTGAAGATAATCTTGAATGGACTCTGCTGGGATGACGGCTACACATTAGCTCAGTGGTTGTAGCAACGCTGGCCTTAGGTGAGGGTCCCTGGTTCGGATCCTGACGGTGACAGTCCATTTCTTCTTTAGACATTTCCCGTTTGTTTCTTTCCCTCAAACCAGCGAATAGGGGTACTTTCTTGCAAGTTTGCAGAGTCCGAGGTTCACTGAACTTCTCGTGTCATCTGTGTGACAGTTATGAGTCAGTCAAGTTAAACGTCAAGTCGGTGGAAAGGGGCGATCTCCAGCGTGAGCAGCAAACCCTTTCCTACAAGTGATAAGGCAAAAGCAAATATGTAGCACGGCGCATTGTATCTCAAATTAGCATATAATTGTCACGTACTACACCGCTGTATCTGTACTCACCTAGCGTTGTCGCCATAGATGAGATAGGGGCTGCACATAAAAAGAAAGACCACAATCATACTAATCTTAATTGCACTCTTTAGCCTAGCCTAACGAGGATCAATACATCTGAAGCTCATCTGAATTTCAACCCAATAATGATAATTATGACCTGCATCTTAGACGGTAATAAGTATCGTTCCAAATTCCTATGTAGGTGAACATGAACATCTGAATCAATTGTCATTGACAACAGCCGTTTCCATAATCCTTTCGGCCAATATACATCAGGCGACATAACATCCCTACTCACCCGGGTTGCTGGGCGCCGCATCCTGTTCCATTATGGTAGTTGAACCAAATTCTCTTGCAGTTGAATTTACAACGCGCTCAGTAACGGATGATGATGTGATGCGAGGTACATGGGTGGATCGGGGAGTTGTCAGTGCACTAGACTCGGAGCGTCCGAGCGCTGTGAGTGTGTTCATAGTGACCGTGTCGTTGGGGGTTAAAGGTGATCCAGTGTAAATTTTGGACGGGGTTGTTGTATAAGGTGCTAGTGACTCGACTTTCTTGAAAAGAATTGAAATGGAGATGTTTGCTGCACCATTGTGCCAAGCCTTGTAGCCAGAATCGGTCTCAACACTTTGCGTTTCGTTCATGATGTTATCCAAAGCGCAGATGGTCAAATTGATAGTAATATTACCCGTGATCGAGTCATATATGCCAGACGCGTTTGCTATTAGCATGTACTTCAATTCGCCGACATTCTGAAAATCAAACATCGCCTTCAGGGTTAGATCGGATGCATTGCAGATGCTCAAATTTGAAAGACCAGTGGCTGGCTTTGTCGTTACCACATCGACTTTTGTAACATTTAGGATCCCACCAATGTCTGTCAGCTCGATGCTGGCTGGTGCTGCGTTGATTTGAGGAGCGAAATGTCGCCGGATATCGATGTAGTACGCACAGTTACGACCATTGCTATCGACAGCCTTGGCTAACAATGTGAAGTTAAGTGCCCTTTCGGAAACTGTGTTGATGAATAGGCCTTTTTCATCCACGGTATACGTCCTTATCGTCAATGTTGAAGCGAGATTGGAATGATCAAAGTCTTTGATGTCCTTGGTAGTACTGGAGAAATTTGTAGGGAGCTTGGCTAGAAGAGATCCTTCCATTGCGTTGGATGACATATACACCCGCAAACCGGAGTCTACAGAACATTCAGCTGATGACACAAACAAAGAAGAGAGTCACTGAATGTTAGTGTCAAAAAAGTATTACTTTCACAGGTTATGCTGTGCACATTGCTTGTGTCCTACCTCTGGGTTTCATCTCCTTCCTCTCTCGTCTAGAAGACCCAGATGTAAGTACACTTCGAGTAACAAGCGCGCGCTCATTATCGCGCCATCTCCTATTTCAAGAGTCAGTATATACATGTAATACTCCTTGTAGATTGTTCTGACGATGGATGACTGGCCCGAAACGTCAATCCTTTTTTTCCGCATCATCAAACAAAGAATTTTCATCTAAAGAGTGAATAGCAACTAAATAGAGCGGTTGTCACTTGACAAACCCCCTGTTATTTCTAATATCAAATAGGTGATTATTTCTTTTCCAGTCAATCAACAACTCAGCCTCCTCTGATGAGGTATTAAACTTCACTGCCCCAAGGAACCTCTTGGTGCTGTTTTGAGCAAGTGAGTGAGTGTATGTATGTATGTATGTGGTCGTCCACAGAGCGCAATTGTTCTGGTGAATGTCAACACAGAATCTAAAAGGTGCAACACTGATACTGTTGCCTACACATCAGCTCGAGGCTTTCCCCTAATCGACCGGCCGAAAAATTCGCCGGTTATGGAGGGTTTCTTAGAGAATAGCCGAAATCAACCAGATGTTATTGCAAAGTTCCGTTACGAACGAATGGTGTTTCTGCGAGCATGACCGCTCGAGCTCTCTACTTCAGTACTTGTGGTACTAGTGCCTTGAGTACTGTTTTATTCACAACACCATCAATTAAGAGTCAAAGCAAGAAGAAAACCCAATTTCGGATATAAATAGAACACTCAATTGAAAAATAAAATTGAACGCAAAAGCTTCACCAGAAATTGTTACCTAATAAAAATGCCTACCGGCATGCAAAGGCGAACGGTCACGCCTCTGCCCGTGTCAGCAGAGCCGGCGGCAATAACCTGCAAAGGGGCTCCCAACCTTGCGGCGAATGTAGGAGGCCCTGCAGCCCCTAAAGCATGTGACTGCCCATCGCAGCAGGCAAAATGAAACATTGGTGCATAACTCACCCGTCACGGCAGAATATACCAAGTATTGTTCTTTGTCTACAACGAGAGCGGCTAGCGACTTCAGAAATATAGTAATTTTTATTGCCCGCCACACTGGAGGTCGAAAACACCAGTGGGGTGAATGGTGATGCTCTCTCCACCTGGTTGACTCTGGCACCATACGCCGCCTTCTTCATTCTCTCATGTGTTCTCGCTCAGTACTTGTAGTACTAGTGCGTTGAGGTCATGTGACTCGTGTCCTTTGAACTCCTCTCAAACAAACATTACCTACTAGTATCAGGAAGATCATTACTAGTAAAATCCCGATATCGGCCGGCCGAAAAATTCGCCGCAAACGAGACTTATCGAAAAATCGCTCAGCTTTTCGCCGATTTTGGAGTGTTCCTGTGAGATTCGCCGAAAATGTACCAAATCTTCGAATATCTCACCAATTTCGAAGATAGCATGCCAACAAATATGTTTGCGGATTTTCCATTACAGTCTAATTTTGCAGCCGATTTGCGAACAATCAGTTTATTTTGTAACCGAATCTGATGTATTTTTGAGCCGAGTGCAAAACCGAATAGGCGAAGAAACGGGTCGATTTGGGGAAAGCCTAATCATTTCTCTCTACTTTAGTTAGGACGTCATCACACTACGTTCTCCGACTCCCGTTTACGTCTACGGTGAAAAAACCAAAACGGGTGGTCGTGGCATAAGACAGGCACTGTTCTTGACGCGTACACGCAGCCTGTAACAGTATAGACTTGATTGATTGGAGAATTCGTCGAATGATGTTCAAACCAGAGGTTATAAAGCAAAAGAAAGGTGAGAACCGCAGGAGTGAGAATAGTAGGAACACAAGGTGTTACCATAAGACAAGCAAGAAGTGTCAAGGTAAAACTATTACACTCTCCCGGCCCCATAGGAAGCCCAAGGTTCTATTAGATAACACAATCCAGTTAGGAGATGCAATTGTGGAAAGGGGAATATTAAATTATCACTCATGCACATGCATAACCACATTGAAGTGTAATCCAACTCAACTTCATCACTCTCACAAGGAGATGACGCAAAACTATATCAGTCTATAACATAATTATTAACTATCTCAGTAAGAGATGCATATGGCTCAGTCCAGTTAGATCAAGGCTGCTGTCGTTGTGAGGCTAGATAGTTCTGCAGCGGTTTAATATTCCGACCAGACTCATCACATAGGTTGCCAGCGGGCTCCCACGTAGCTTCGCTGCTGGGGTAACCCTTCCAATGCACCAGGAAGTGTTGCTCACCACTGCGGTGTCGGTGATTCAAAACGGCTTCGACAACATAGCGTGTGTGTCCATCTAGATCTGTGAAGGGCGGAGGCGGGGGTTGGTGTCTTCCAGGAATCGTGTTCTCTTCGTAGCGTTTAAGAGCAGTGACATTAAACACGGGATGGCAGCGAAGTTCACGGGGTAGTTCCAAGCGAAAAGCATTCGCTCCAATCTTAGCCTGGATACGATACGGACCAAACCACTTGGGTTGCAACTTCCGAGAGGGCTGGCCACGAGCTTCCGGGGTCAGTAGAAAGTCTCTGTAGACAAGAACGCTATCACCAACCTTCAAATCACTGGGCGTTCTCGTCTGGTCTGCGTATAGAGCTTGCCTTGCCTGGGCGTCGAGCATAGCATCTCGAGCTATCCTTAGTGCGGCTTCCTGCTCATGAAGCCAATCGACCGAATCACTCCTTTCCCCTCCCGTAAGAATGAATTCGGGCGGGGACTTAGGGTCAAACCCATAGTTCAGATAGAACGGTGTATTAGCTACAGATGACTGTTGTGAACTATTTATTGCAAACTCGCAGAGTGGTAGAAGCGAATCCCAATTGTCCTGTCTCAAGTTCACAAATGCTCTTAGAACATCTCCCACTTGCCGGTTAACTCTCTCTGTCAAACCATCCGTTTGAGGGTGGTTAGCAGTGCTGAATGCCAATTTAGTTCCTAGCTGAGAGAATACTTCTTTGAAAAAAGCTGCAGTGAATCGTGGATCGCGATCGGAAACAATGGTTGAGCTCAGCCCGTGCAGACGAAACACGTTTTGAATGTACAGTTGAGCGCTGCCCTTAGCATCAATCTTCGAGTTTGTTGGAACAAGATGTACGCATTTCGTAAGTCGGTCCACAAAGGTGTAAATTGCGTCGAAGCCACGAGAAGTAAGGGGCAATCCAACAATAAAATCCATTGAGATATCCTGCCAAGGACTATTAGGTATTGGAAGTGACTGGAGAAGCCCTGTTCGTGGCTGACCTCCCTTCGTTCGCTGGCAGAGATCACAGGTTTTGACAAATCTCTTGATATCGAGACCCATTCGGGGCCAGTAGAAAAAACGTGCTAGGCGGAAGTACGTTCGATCACGACCCGGGTGGCCAGCCGTTGCACACTCATGGTGTTCTTGAATGAGCTTTAATCGGACACCGCACTGTGGTATGCACAACCGGTTATTGGGGGATGCCTTGAGGTACAAGCGATCAGTGGATTCGTCCCAATAATAGCGATCATGCAAATTATCTCGGAGAGAATGCTTCAATCTTTCTATGATGGGAGTTAGCTCTTTGTCTCTCTGGTAGGCATCTGATATTGTATTGGACACGTCATCATTCATTGCTAAAGCATACTCAATAGCATTCAAACGTGGTACTGCATTCTCCACGAGGTTACTCTCATGGAGATCTGGGCGACGCGAAGGGGGATCTGCAGGGTTCTCTCTGCCGGGTCTGTGACGGACTGTGTAGTTATAGTCAGCTAGGAATTCAACCCATCGCGCCTCTCTCTTTGTAATGCTTGGTTTTGTTTTCAGATAAACTACCGCCATGTTGTCTGTAATGACCTCAAAGTGTTGAAAGAGGTAGATGCGCCAGGTCTTTAGCGCAAACACTACGGCCAATGTTTCTCTTTCTGTAGCTGTATAATTCTGTTCCGCAGCAGACAATTTTCGGCTAGCATAAGCCACTGGATGCCAGGCATCTTCCTCTAGTTCTTGGAGAAGAACACATCCCAAGGCGAAATCGCTTGCATCTGTTACCACTCTGAATGGTCGGTTCACATCAGCCAGCCGCAATAGGGGCGCATTCAACAAGGCATGCTTTAGCGATTCAAAGGCATGTTGCCGAGAGCTGTTCCACTCGAATCGTGCATGTTTTCCCGTTATCTCCTCTAAGTTCTTAGAGAGCGATGAGTATTGATCTATGAATCGCCTAAAATAATTCGTAAATCCAAGAAATTGCCTCACCTCTGTGACGGAAGTCGGAGCGGGCCAGACCTTTACTGCGGCAATCTTGTCTGGGTCAGGGGCGATGTGCAGTCCATCGATGCAATGTCCCAGGAACCGCACACTCTCCACGCCAAATTCACATTTTGACCGTTTGCAAAATAACTGGTTGTCCCGGAGCACGCTCAATACCGACCGGACATGCTGCATATGCTCCGACCACGTTTTGCTGAAGATGAGTATGTCATCTAGGAACACGACTACGAACTCCCTTAGATATGGTTGAAGAATCGTATTCATCATGGATTGAAATGTTGCCGGTGCATTGGTGAGACCAAATCCCATGACCCTAAATTGGTAATGCCCAAAGGGAGTGTTAATCGCGGTTTTGGGCACGTCCTCAGCTTGAATGCGAATCTGATTATACCCTGATCGGAGGTCTAGTTTCGTGAAGTACCTAGCGCCCTGTACGGTATCGAATAAATCATCCACATTGGGCAAGCACGCCTTGTTCTTAACAGTTATCTTGTTTAGCTCCCTCCAATCGCAGACCATGCGTAACGAACCATCAGCTTTCTTGACAAAAAACACCGGTGCACCAAAGGGGGACTTACTTGGTTCTACGAAACCCTTTTTCAAGAGTTCTGTGAGCTGTTTCTTCAATTCCTCCATTTCTGGCCTGGGCAGGCGATAGGCAGGTCGC